TAGTATCCTCCAACATTTGCTATGGCGACTTTATCTGCTGGTTGCATACGAAAGAATGACCTGATCTGCAGATCGCAAACAGATCCTCGTCAGCATTCCGTCGCCCTCGACCAATGGGGTAGAATTATATAGTACCCACTCAAATAGCCTGGAGACTGTTGCGTCCAAGATACCCTGGTTCACGAGCTTTACACGAGTCGAGAACTTGAAACGAAAAAGCATCGAGACACAATTCCCAAGCCACGACTTCAAACCGCATAATCCCATCCGGAATATTTTCCTCACGGGCACAACAGGGTGTCTCGTTTTAGCCATTTTGAAACAACCCCCGGAAAAATCAGACATCGAGGTATTCACATTAATCCGCTGCCCTAGCGAATCCGAAGGACTACAACGGATCATAAACAGTGCCTCGATGAACGGACGGTGTCAAGACTTTTACACCCTCAGAACCACCGTGTGGGCGGGGAACCCAACCCTTTCAAACCTCGGCCTGGGCTTGGAAGAGCTACAAATCCGTCGAGGTACAACAACTCCACCCGACTTCTGCATCCACACCATCATCTATAAGGGCGCCGGAGTATACCGCAGCTCCGAATACTCGACCCTCAAACCCCTCACCATCCTTCCAACCCTCGAGTTTCCTCACCAAAACCGCACGAGCACCCAGCATCGCCTCCTTCGTCTTCGTCTCCGGTGGCCAAAAGCCCAACATCGTCACCCAAGGACCCCTCCGCCCACGCCGCAGCGATCAGTCCGATTACCCAGATGAGATTCCGTGCTGGAGCGAATCGTGCAGAAGTGTGTTCGTCGTGACGTTTTCCGGACGAAGAAGCTCTGTACCGTCAAGCCGGGCCTACACCATCGGCTCCGTCCATGCCGGCATTGCGAACCGGAAGGATTTTTTCCATCCGGCGTCCCGTTGCTGGCTGCGTGGAGATTGGGGCGTACGATCGCGACGACGCGGCGCATTGGCCGTGTTTTCCGGATGTGGATCGTGTGGCTGGCCTTGTTGTCGGTGGCGTCTTCGATGATAGCGATCGTTATGGAAGCAGCGCCGTCCTTCGTCCGTCGGGTCGTGTCGAGAGGGTGCCGGACGGTCTGCTTTTCTCTGATCGGTGGATGCTGTGGAGGAGGGGTGCGGGTGCCGCTTTGAAGCACTGGGATGGATGGGGAGGGTGAGGGATAGGCTTGTGGAGATAGGGGAGAAGAAGCATTTGCTTTTCCCGCTGTTGCATATGTTGGAGAGAAAGGGGGGATGCATTGGTGAAGATATTGAGGATGCGTCGGGCGGAGGGACGGGGACTCAGGGCGTCGAGGAAGCGGTGCGGAGGACCGTGAGGTATTTGATCGATGTTGGCGTTTTGTCTAGGCTTGCGAACGGGAAAGGAAACGATGAGTGCTGCGCAGGGGGGAGGTGTGTTGCAGGACCGGAGGGGGATCTGAGGCGTTGGTTTCGCAACGATATGGCTCTTTTCTGTGAATCGCTTTACTTTTGCAGCCATTGGACCGTGGCTGTGGTCCTTCATACATACAAGTATTTGCTTGGAACGTATCTCGTCTATAGACCTCTACGCCTGGTCAGACCTTTCGATTCCAATCCGGTGTCCCTCCCAGCGGGTCAAGTCTCAAGCGACGAGACGAGATCACAGATCTCGACACCACCCAGCTTCATACAAACTTGAGAGAACGAATCGGCGGCCCGGATTATTAAAAACCGGAACGTAAGGAACCCGCTGAACCCGCCGATATATGCTGAAGTCTCTCAATCCGGGGCCCCAAGAGAATGCAGGTTTATTGCTCAGGAAAGGGGATCGGATGATGTAAGCATAATCAAGGACTATGTTTTTGGAGAACACGCCGGCCAACGGGTACCTCTCCATATCATGCATTTCGGCGCGGTATATCCCCAAGACTTTCCGAAATCAGGATTCAATGACTATGAACTTCTTGACGGAACCCTGGAAACAAGGGTTACGAGAAAATGATTGAATGTGGAGGCACCGTGCGTGGGCTCTGGCTACTTGAGGTATGTAGAAGTGAAGCCATCCATTCCGAAATCCTACCGCAGTCTAGGACCCGTGACATCTCACGGGAGCAAAACTCGTCCCGTCGCCCGTCCGTTAGGACGTCTCTCTCCAAATAGGGATTTTTCTCGAAGAAGATGCGCTGACTGCGGAGCCATCACCGAAAAACATGGGAGAGTTACATAGCGATCAACCTTACGGGCAAGAGAGCGATCCGACTCATCAGGGCTTGTGTTGCATACGTACTTTCTCCAACGGCTCCTTGTCTTCTCAACCCTAGTCTGCCCCCAAGAAAGAAAGGAAGGCTGACTTTACGAAATCCAAGGCGTCGCTCGCCGGCGGCTGGACCTTTGGGCGTAGCTAAGGAGGTCGATCTTGTTATAGTGGCAGCTGCGTGGAAAAGGCAAGGCACTGTTGATCTTGTCGACTATGGAGCATGGATCATGACTTTGTGGCTTCTCCGGACGGATATCGCAGGGAAAGGTTCCCTGGACCCGGATTATGAGCCTGTGGTTCTTCCTTCTTCCGAAGCAGTGGGTCAAGCCAGGTTATGGCGGGGACGTCAAGAGCATTGTTGGGAACCGTTTTTCAGTACTTTGTCCATTTGCGAAAAGAAGTGTTTTGCTGCTAAATGTACGACGATTAGCACTTGCGCGAGTGGTTCGGGTATCTGGACTTGTGGGCACTGCCCAGAGTAGTGATGAGAGGGTGGTTTCTGATGATTTATAGCAATACGGGGGAACCAATTGGCCATCACGAGCGAAGAAATTGCACAGGAGTCGAAAGGTGCTATCTGGTAAGATGCACATTGAGATGAGCTATTACCTTTTGCAGGAATCGACCCAGCACGAGAGCCACAGGAACTCGTGCGCGAGGGGCTCTGATCCGGCATACCCTCTGCGAAGTGCGCAATGAGCGTTCATGACACTTCGTTCTCAATCCAGTCGCCTAGGTCAGAGCGGGAAGAGGGATACGGGTAGATTTTTATTGTTGTTAGCGATTGCCTATAATTTACTTGCGTCTTCAGTTTCACAGGAGTTGTAGGAGTCGTACAATTCAGGCGCAGTGCCAGAAGAAAGCGACAGACTTCACAGACTTCCATAAAGATGGTTGTATTACAACATACCTGCAAGAGAGCGTTTTTTTCTTTTTTTCCTCAAATGCGTTCAATCCTTTCCATTTAAGAACCTTTGACAGTAAGAGTCGATGTATCTTGATTGATAAAGGAGAGCTTCCTCCTATCGTGAACGGAAATTGTCTCTATGCACGACTTTCGCTACATTCTCTTACTACGGCCAGGAGCAAGACAACGTCCGTCTTTCGCTAGTCGGAGGCCATGATTGTACGCAGGCTAGCTGCATGATGATCTCCGGTCTTACTCCCAGGTAGACTAGACTCGGGCAATTTCATCGATCACTCTAGATCGCGCTTCTAATCTCATGCAGAACCCTCGTGCAATCTTTGTACCTAGACCTGCCCGTCCGGGTATTATTCTGCAGCTGCAGCTCTGATTAAACAGAATGCGCATAAGTCCGGTCTTGGTGATGGTGAAAAAAGCAGCGCTCGAGCCCCCGGGCCCCGCACCTGCACGACGATACAGCCGACGATCGATTGTACGCGGAGATCCACGACGCAGAGTCTCGCGTGGGGAGTCCCTGCATTTGTAAAGCCCCGGGGCGTGGCACGGGTCGGAGCAGCTCGGTGCGCATCGCGGTATCGTAAAATGCACGCTAAAAACCATACGTCAGTCTGTAAAAAAAATGACAACACTTCATCGGTGGCTGCAGGTACATAGCCTATCAGTGCTAGTGACGCTACTTCAACCAGATTCCAGATGTAACGAGGCATGTGTGGCTGATTCGGATGTCCTCGATGAGGGGTCCAGCCGTACTATGGCCATCAAATCAGGACTGGTCGTCAAGTTTCGCCGATTGAAACACGTTGACCAAAAGACACCGAAGCCGACAGTATCAAATGCATGCAGCCTTGATCGAGTCTTCCAAGCCACAAGCCCAGCGGAACACGGATCGTTGGATTCCGAATTAGACCCAGATCGCTGAGCTGCGGGCTAGTCTAGTCCACAGGCTCGAAGGAACTAGAACACCAGGAAACTTCTCCGCCAGACCCTAAGCGCCGAGCACAAAAACGGCAACCGGCAACCGGCAAACCGCCACGGAAGAACCTGACGGCCGCAGCCTTCCATGCCCGCTCGCACATCTTCAGTATCCAGTCGCCCCCTTCGTTTCCCCTCGGATATGGATGATCTAGGACTCCCACCTCGAGCAACTCGCAAAGCGCTCCCCATTCATCCCTCAGACCGAATTCCAACACCCTCGATCCAATCTCCTTCGCATGGGTTTGGACCCCCACGTACTGTGCGCACATGGCCGCTTTGCCGTTCGACTCGAAATCGTCGTCGAAAAGGCACTGCCATTATTTCCGCCGTAAAGGATACACCAGGCCTGTGACCCAGGCGAAATGTTGCAACACGCCGTGCAGCCAATAATTTTTCGCCTGCAATAGCGTTTTCGAGCAAGAGGTGTGCCATGAGTCGACGGGCTGGTTGGTGAGGATGGTTTTGGCATTGGGGTAGGCGTCCATAAGCTCGGGGCCGAACGCGATGACTGAGAGGTCACAGATGGACTGGTCTCCATACAATCGATCAGCAATTATTGAGGCTTTGTAGTCGCAGTTTCAAAGACTTACGCCGCAGGCACCTGTTCAGTTCATGATAATATGCTCCTATTATGTATCAATCGAGTTCGGCTTTTCGACCCTTTTTTCATCATGTGCAACCTTCAGCTTTCTTGCCGGTACGTCGAAAGCCCAGATGAATTTCCTAGATAAGCTAAGTAGTGAATATGGATGATAAAGACCAGACACAGTTGCCCCTAAGGTTACTGTCCACATAACAATGATTTGGTGTTCCAGACAACCAGGCTCATAAGTCAAGACCGACCTTACCTCTTTGACATGCAAAGAGTGGGTAGCCTGAAGCACAATAAGCGCGGGCTAGTGCAGAATCCGGTCTGGGACGGTCACGATCTTTTCAAGGGAGGAATTGCCATCTATCGGAACATCCAGGTCGTTTTCATGTCCACATTTGTCGATGTCAATATACCCAAAGACATCCGTGGAAAAGTCTCCAATAAAACGCACCTGGGTCTATCGATATTCGACAATGCCTTCTACCTTCGGCGGGAGGGTACCCACAGCGGAGTCTTCGTCTGCTATAGTCGTTCTACTTGACTTTAAAGTAATGACAGGACAATTCATCGAACTATGCACTCAGCCAGAAGGCATGTAGCGTTCAATTTCTCGCGGATAGCGACTGATTCATCGGCTGGGAAGAACAGCGCGACTTATCGCAATACACGCAAAACAATGAGCTCGTATTCCGCGCCGAAATCGCTAATGAGGCAATGCCGACATGGAGCTGCCGTACGTTCAAGGGACTATGATCTGCACGGTCACGGATTCAGCCAGATCTGTATACTTATACCTGAAATTCCCACTGGAATACAACCATGTATGCGAACTGGAATGGTGCGACTGATGTTGAACCATGGAGATTTTACGGTAGTACGTCAGAGTACGGCCCCTTTGAGGGAACGGCCTTTGCGAGCAAGAACGGTTTCGAGACCAGAGCCATGGCTCCGTTCTTCGCCGATCATGCGTAAGTGGAGGCATTGCTTATATGGAGGATACGAAAAGTCATGAAGCTCGCTTGGAGCCCACAGCTGCCGGGACTGGCGCCACTACCTTTCAGTCGCCGTCCGAACATTCGAAATCTGTTCCAAGTCCTGGTTAAGATTCAGAAACACTTGCTGAAAGAGCTTGACGGAACGCTACCCGTATCCATGCTCTCTAGATTACGTCAATGCTATGGTGAGTGTCGCGATTATAATCCAGAAAGGGAGTCGTGCGCCTGATGAAGGTGCGTTGCTACTAGGCTTCCCACTTTCTGATGCCAGTGGACTTGCTGCAGATATTGGAGGCGCAGTACTTTGGGGGATGGCTGTAGTCGGAGCCGTCATCGTAGCTGCTGGATAAGACGGGTTTTTGGACACGATCGGGGCTCGCAGTGGCGCTGTTGATGGGGACCGGAAGCCTAGACTCGGAGCAGTGAAGACTGAGGTAGCTGTTAAAGAAGACGGTGTGGGTGTCGAGGGCGAAGAAGCGGAGAGAAGGGTGATCCATGAGTCGCTTGTTGCAGAACAGCCCGCGTAGTAGAGCTTATCACAACCGTCGTCAATGCTGTACACACCATTACCCCCAAGGCCGACACCGAACGTACAACCATTGTAGCTCCCACCCCCATCGTTCCGCTCTCCACTACCCCTATCGTTCTCACAACCATCATCATCACCAGTACTCTCCCACTCATTCCCATCCAAGTTCCCAACACCATTGCATATGAACGCCATAACCACAAACTGCACGATGTTCACACAGCTTGTAACGCTCTCCTAAACCCTGTCTCTGGCCTTTCAGCCGCGCCTTGGTAGCATGCTGCATCCCGGTATGTGTAGAAGGTAGGTACGTGGCCGTCGGAGCATGTGGGACAGTCGTTGATGATGTAGCTTTCGATGGTAGTGTTCAGAGGGTCGCCGATGCTGAACGGGTTGCCGCACACGTTGGGGGCCAAGAGTGAAGTTGCTGATGAAAAAGGGACTTTGGCACGTGGAGGTGGAGCATAAGGCTATATTTCTTGTAAAGTCAGTGTAGACGAAGGAGGGCGCATGCGCGGAGAAGAGTAGTAAGGAGAAGAGCGCGAGGGACGGCCGTGGAGGCATTGCTAGGGAGCTGAGCTATCACGAAATTTATGAGATTGGAAGCAGAACGCGTCTTTAGTAAGAGAATGGAACGACAAGGAGACACCGCAACACCATCTCGCACTTGCGATGATGGCAGAGAGTGCGAACGGAGATTCAATGTTGGATGCCCTCATAGTGGTGGGGGGAAACACATTAGAGCCGGGGCTGCCTCTGTGGTCTCTGGTGGCTCTAAATGCCTGTATCTTTTGGGCGTTTGTATCTTTTCTTCTGCCATCACTGTCGGCCTGACAGTAGCATGGCCATGGCTCTGAGGACGGAGACATCACCGATGAGGTGCATGAATCCTTGCTAAGGCGCCGGGGTCGACAGGTGTCCAAAAATAGCCGTCGCGTTATCGACACTATTGGGTCCGTCGACTCCCCCATAGTTGCTGTTACTTTGATTCCACTCTTCAATTTGCTCTGTGCTCTCTTCACTCGTCCTATGGTGGTAATAATGTTCATGAAAGTCGATCAACTGAATGTTTGGCCCCCAACGAAGCCTGGAGGCTAAGCCCCCTACGAGTACGAGTACCGGCCGATCAATCGCTGAAAAAACTGGTCCTTCTCGTGGTCTTCTTCTTCTTCCCCTTTTCCTTTTTCTCATTTCTTACGCAGGTAACAATTTGCCATTCATCACTTCGTTATATCTACAATATCACACCTGTACAATGGCTCAAAGAACGTTACCAGGTCTTTCACGAGCGCCCCTGCGATTGACGCTCCCGGCCACTCTCTGCGCCCTTTCCTCTGCCATCGCGATCCACTCTGTCCTTTCCCAGCGGCTTTGCTTGCTTGGCCTCTGGTGTCATGACGCTCTTTGATTCCTGTACATCCTTGCTTTTCCTCAGAGGCTCCGTTTTCTCCTTTTGCAACGCCGCATTACGATTGGGCGGCGCGTAATGTTTTTCTAGTACTCGATCCATGGTGTTACGGTAATCACTTGCATGCGTTTAGCTATCTGGGACCTAGGGAGACGATGAAAGAAGAGCAGAAGTCTTACAGCATGTTTCGTTTGATTTTCTCATATTCGGAGTCGGAAGTTCCGGGCTCTCTATATGCTTATGAATCTGAGTCAGCTTGTTAGCCAGCCAGGGAATGAGCAATTGGTATCACCATAGAAGTTCTTACTAGGACCTCCCTTACTAGCGCCTATGTTGTTGTTAGCTCGATGGGGTAGTGTTGGGACCCAGTCAACAGGTACCTTGCTTCTCGTTCGGCGCCATTATCAATATTCCAGGCATTGCAGAAGATAGGAAAAGAGATGATGAGCATATATATGAAGAGTTGCGGTGAGATGGATAATGGAGAATAGTGGGATAGTGACGTTGATTGTCGGGCATAGCGAGAAGAGGAAAGCTTTAAAATAATTCCAAATAATTCCCCTCGGCCATTTCAACCGAAAAAAGATTCTTCAACCGCCTCGCGACCTCAGTCTTAGACCTGGACTTGAAGACGCCCAAAAATGCTAGTACAGCTTGTGTCTTCGGTTAGCAATCTACTTACTCTTCGACGCAATGACTCTTCACGATACACATTTCCGAGGACCAATCGTCTGCTGCCATTTCTGAAACACAGCCCAGTCGGATCACCAAGTCGGCAATGAAAAGGTGGGAGCGGCATCCAATTGAACGAATCCAACATTGGAGCATGCTGCGCGAAGTGACATACTAACGTTCCTTGCAGCCACTGCACGGAAACAGGACGCTGTAGTGATAGCGCTCCTTTCGCTTGGAAGTCTCGGCATGTCAGCACCTCGGTCTTCTCGCAACAGCTGAATAACGAGTATCACCTATAGTCCTCTATCTTTCTTTGCCTTGAAATATGGCAACCCATTATCGTAGTCGCCAATGGTTTGGGAGGACAAGGCTCGAAGCATTCCGATTTTTTGCAGGCTAGGGACCAAACAGCCGTGTGTTGTAGAACCAGGCCCATGAAAAAAGCAGTCTTAGCGCACTCTTTCCCCTACAGTTGGAGAAGACAGAAAGATGTTGACATTTCAAAAGTAAGCATACAGTCTGCGGAGGCGGGTAACTCGACAGCCGCGATAGGCAGGTGTCAGTGTGCCTAGAACACGGGTTGCTGATGGAAGGAAGAAAGTTGAAGGGCAGTATTTCAAAAGTCAACACATCCGTGCGTGGGAGGTATGGGTGACTATAGGAGAGGCAGACTGGTCATGCGCTCCCTTGCGGGTAAGTAGCCGGAGTTGACATGCAGGGGCGCTCCACTATCATTAATCTGGTCACTGATTCAATGCTTTAAGCGGCAATGAATCGTTCAACGGCGCTGCCTCGGCCGTACCTATGTAGGAATTTGAGAGGTTGAGATCTCCTGGTGCCATATACATTCGCATCTGCTGAGACAAAAACTTCAAGCACGATAATAAATGTTCCACACATCAACTCCAGAGCCTTCTACTCATCGTTTTCCGCTGTTGAAAAGGAAACCTCAAGTCGAGAGAACGAACGCATCGTGGATGAATGGCAGTCGATCTTCCCATATACTGCAAGCAGAGGAATGATGAACGGAGAAGGAAGTAAACCTGGCAATATCGTTCACCCCCAAGATTCTCCAGGTACACTGATGAACCGATATTCTTACAAAACTTTCTCCTTCCTCCCTGGTAAAAAAATATTTAAAAAAATGCAGAGAAATTGACCGGGGAGCTACCATAGCATAAGATCAATCAAGACCCTGGGTGGTGCGGATGACGTAGAATATGAAACGCCTCGCAGGTTACGTAGCGAAGCATTGTGGTAACAGCGTGTGAGAGATCAAGGGCACCGTCGAAGGAGGATTTGCAAGCAAGGGTGATCGAGGGTGCTATGGGTATCAGGATATCGATTGACGGCGTGGGCGGTCATGAGATAGCAGACGAGTCGCATCAGGCAAGCTGTCAAAGGAGTGTACGTCTCGGGTGCTGTCCTTATCCGACTGGGAGGAACATCTGGATATTAAGGGGGAACCGTGTGGGAACTGGGATGGTGGAGCAGCTCAAGCAGAAGACACTCCTCTTGCGATGGTGTTGTCGAGACTCAGAGCATTGTATCCCCATCACCGCGACAGCTTCAGGCAGCGCGTGTGGCGTCCCAGTGAGGCGAGAATTTGCATCTGTCAGGGGCATCGGTGGAAGGAATGAGACACACACGACACATCAGCTCTAGAGCTCCCTATCCACTGCTCTCTCCTGGCTATCACTCACTCAGTGTTCCTAAGTATCCTGAGTTCGACACCAAGCATCCGACAAATATACCTTGCCGGTATAACACCAGTCTAGCCTCCTTCGGCCGGCAAGTCCATGGTTGAGAAGATATCCCAGAGTATACCGCCTACCATATGTTCTCGGCCCTCGTCGAGTATCCTGACGCTCAAAAAGCTTGTTTTGCCAGGAGGTGCTCTGAACACGATGACGCGCGGCTGTATTTTGCCTTCAAGAGCATCAAAGTCGTAACGCTTCCGTTTCTCGTCCAGGTGGAAGTTTCTTTTCGGTGTTAGGAACATCAAGTACTGCACATGTTAGTCGGCTGGTATGCTTCGTGGAAATATCGCTTCAACCTTGAACTCGGCCCTCCATTTCAAAGAATCGGTGTCGTTAGCTAGCCAGTCCTCTATTTTCTCCCAGTAAGTCGTAGCCATGTTGCGTCAATGACGGGGAATACAGATATCAATGATGAGCAATGGAGGAGAAAAATAGCTAAGCTTCTTAGAAAGACAGATACAGGTCAAGTCTAAACGTATATAAAGGTCGAAAAAGAAGATGAGATATTTGAAGCAGGCAAAGCGAAGTTGGGAGAAGTATACACGGCGAGAAGGACACGGAAGAAAACGCATACCTTCCAAACGATCAGCGCCGCTTTCCACCCATCCTATACATGGTGCACAACTGGGAAGAAGTCAAAGCATACGCCTAGCCCTGCGCTTGAGTGATTCGCCACATGCAGTTATAATCCGCGCCCTTTTCTCGCGGCGACCTAGGCATCCTGCAGTCCCGAGCGCCAGACCTCCATCGCTCCTGCATAAGACATCAGAAAGCTTACAATCGCCTTAATCTTCTTCATTTAAGATAGTGGCTTCGAGGACTCGCCCTGTGACTGGACTGGGTCGGTATCGGTGTTCCGAGACGAGTACAACGTACTCACCAGGCTCCCAGTCTTTGTGCTTCGGAGTCTTTTTGGAGCTTTCGAGCTCAGCTTTGAGTCTCGCAGCGTCCTCCTTCAAAGCTCAGATCTCAGTGAATATGGCGTGATCGAGCTCAGCTTTGAGTCTCGCAGCGTCCTCCTTCAAAGCTCAGATCTCAGTGAATTTGGCATGATCACGCTCGGCTTTGAGCCTGGTAATCTCTTCGCTGATCGCCAGGTTCTCGTCCTGGAGCCTCCGCAGGGCGTGCTCCTCGTTCGCTCTTGACCGGCTACGAATGAGTCAGCGTTCCAAGGGCACGCAGCATAAGCAGAGCCAAGTGGAATTTACCGTGCAGACTCCCAGGTCGCCATAGCTCTCAGCGTGGTGGTAGATTCGATAGCGGTCGGCTCTGGTGGTGACTTTTGTCTTGGCTATTGAGCTGTTTGAAATTATATGGTTGACTTGAGGTGACTCTATGATGTGTGTGTAAATCTCCTAGCGTACGAGTAGAACCATCTCGGATACACCAGGTACAGACAACTCTCTGTGTAGAGTACTGAGCGTCCAATCGTACTGCTCGCGAGTTTGAATATTGCCCGGGATATCAGGATTTGTGGAAGTGTGATGCTGTGGGTATGTGAACATGAATGGTTGATGGATGGTTGATGAATGAAGGTGGTGGAAGGTGGGGAGGTTGCACGAAAGTCTGCGGCATTCTAGATTATCACAAAGTATTTTTACTAACCAGATTGATGAAACAAATCCCGCAAAACAATGCTGACTCGAAAGGGCTTAGCGAGCAAGGAATGAGGCAACAGCTATTCTGCATAAGGCTTCACATACCAACGTTAAATGATCAAGATCATGCAGCTCCTATCTGTTGCTAGAAGCCGTGAAAAGGGTTAGAATGAGTGCCGGAAACCAATATTTTCGTGCGATGAGCCAGCGAACTTGCGAACAACTACTTTTCTTTTCTCGTACTATACATATATGTATATTCCTGTATGTCCTTGTTTTGGATCCCTCTGTGGCACAGGCGGCTTAGGCCACAGTTTCTTTCCTCCAATAAACCCTGGTCCACTTCAAGCACCCACATACTGAGTCCCAAGAGGGAATTGCTGCATGGCCACCTCGCTTGAATTCGAAGTGGGGCCTTTCATCACCCTTGATGCAAGTCTTTACGAATTGGGAGCTATCAGTGAAAATATTGACACTCAGGCACCGTCAGCCCCTCAAGATGATTGTACAGGGTGCTGTGACCATCTGGATTCGAGAGGCAGAGCCAGCGACAGGTACCAAACAAAGACCAGAAACGCAGATTCGCGCCACCAGTGTCTAGAAGAATAGTGCCCGACTCATCAACCAGCAATACTAAAACCTCTGCCTCATCGAAGATACGGCTATATGGGATCAGAAAGCCATACTCTCTCTGGGTATGTATCCTCTCCAGACCCTGAGCATTTCCCTGACTTTTATGATTTTGGCCTCGAAGGCGTGATAATCAGCTTTGTCTACCCCTGCGGTATTCTTTTGGAGCGTTCTGCATGCTTTTTGGTAGCCGGATTGTATTGGAGTACTTCTTGAACGTATGCTTGGAGAAGCCACGAGGTTTTACGTTCGCGCCTACCTTGACACATAACCTCAGCCGCCTTTCATCACCCAGGTTCGTACTCTGCTGTTACGCAAATTATGCCGCTGATGGATGACGCTGACTGATGCGCAGATGGGGAAGGTATCCGCAGATACTCGGCTCTTATGATCATTTTAAAAGTCATGAAAGTCATCGGGAGAATAGAGCGAAAGCATGCCTGTGGACCAAGCAAACCCGACGGGTCGGCGGGGTCAAGCTCTTATCCGCTGGCGCCACTGTCGCCGGCGCCATGCATGGCGACCAATACCAAATATAAGGCGAACAATGGTGGCGGTGAATCTGCCAAGACCGAGTCGTCGCCATGGCTCCCATGCCACTATTCTGACTACATAGCTGGAACAAGTACGGCAGGGTATGTCCAATGCGCCATGTATTTAGAGTAGTTCAGCCGACTCCTCTCTCAGATTAATTGGCATCATGTTTGGGCGTTAGACAATGAAAGCCGATGAGACTGCATCTCGGAATACGAGATCCTGGGCGCGGAAGTAGTTGGGCACAGTCGCGAGAGCCATCTCAGATCTCCATTGTTCGGGCCACGTGACAGGTATAATCCCGAATTACTGGGGAATGTAATCAGAGACGTCGTACGTCGACGGGTGCTGAAGGTGGCTGAATTCCCTGGCGGTAGGAACTTTGCATTCGATTAGAACAGATGCAAAACGTAAGGAGTGAACCCAAATTACGAGGCTTACACTGAGCATTTTGCAGAGTCATTGTTGCTCTCCAGTAATGGAGCCTGGTTGGCATGGAAAAAACCTACTTGTTTCGACCCTACAACAACCTACACAAAAGCAAAGACTCTGAGGAGCGAAAGCTTGATAGAAATCCCAACACAGCTCATGACATATCAATTTGGCAAGTAGCTCGTGCCACATCTGCGGCACCGACCTATCTCGAATCTCCCTCAATTGACGGGTTCGAGTACGTCGATGGCGGCTTCGGGGCGAATAATCCTTGTGCGGAAACCTACGAAGAAGTCCGGAGAACGAAAAACAACTCTAAGAGGTGTCGTTCTGAGAATCGGGACAGGAAAAGGACAACGAGTCACGCCGTTTCAAAAGTACTGTGTTCCAGCACTACTTGAGTTATCTCAATTTCGCTAGAAATTCGGCTTCTGATTCCGAACAAACGCACTTAGCAATGCTCAAAGCAAGGAGTGACGTCTATTTACTTTATTTCAGTTTGAATGTCGAAAAAAGCCTCGACCTGATGAAGCTTGACGAGTGGGGGCGAGGGTCCAGTGAGAATAAAGATTGGAGAACGCATGGACAAAGTCAGATCTTTCTCGCCCAAGGATCGACGCAAGGGCAACAAAAGAGCTGGAGCCGGTGTACCGAATGGCCGGCAGGCTGGTTTTTTGGAAGTGAGGCATGATAAATTGCAAAACGGGACGGACACCATCCACACGGATGGCAATGGAAGTATGGATCATGCGGGCCAGCAGGCATCAAGAGAGCCCAGCGAACAGGTTACAAACGGAAAATATGCTCCAGATGCTACCGACGAGACGTCCACTGCACACTTAGTGGAAGGGGTAACGACAAATACTTTCGACCAGCAATAGGCGCATTCGCCAACTACTGGCACCTCAGCACGAAAAGCTGACCCCAAGACCGACAACGCGAAAATCCCACAACGGTTCCGATACAAGGACTGAACTCTAGAATCAATCCGCACATACACCGAGGTCTATCTTGCTCACCCTGATACGATCAAGATGATCGAACGGTGTGCCAAGCTTCTCGTCGACGGTCGTCGCAGCCGAGCTAAGAGCGACCCCCAGCGGTTGGAGAAGACATGCTTTGGTACCTGGTATCAGTGCAGGATCCCGAAATGTCCTCGTGGAGAGAAGGAATATGAAACGCGGTGGCAACTCCGGAACCATTTGCTGGACAAATATCAGACCGGATTGACGAAAGGCGTCGAGGGCAAGAGGAAGCTTGAGGAAGCGCTTGATTGCTGCAAGTTCGTCATCCATTGAGCGTACCGCCAACGTCGAGAGTGAAGTATCCGCATGTCTCACTTGGGACGACCCAAGAAATGCTAATGGGGGCGTTCTATGAGTATGCATTTGGGGTTCACAATTAGTGCTTGTTTCGGAAGGGCTGGCAAGACAGTTAACGGCTAGAAGTGTCTCAAAAGCCTTGTCACTTTTGCTTTCTCGCGTCGCAGTGGTTCTCTGCCAGGTACTCAAATGATTTATTTCTTTTTCATTTTGGTCAATCACAACTCATGTCAGATCACAGTGTTCTGATTGGTGCTTAGAGCCACCCTATGATCATGTACTGTCTTGCAATAACAAGTCCCAAGATGCCACATCGCGAGACTTTGCCCATTCTCTACTTCTGTAGCACTTTCCTTGGAAACTACCTTAAGGATTTGATGTTCCTGCAATGCTTTGCCCTTGATGTATTGTGCTGCAGCAAATGGCAAGGTAGACTAGAGCATGACCACAGCAATGTGCCTGTTCAGGCTCATGCTATTGATGAATGTGTGCTGAATCTACTTTTCGCGGTCTCACGCGTGATAGAACGATAAGGTGAGCCAGGCTGTCATCTCAAATCATTGGTCATTCGAGCATGAATGCTGTTCAAGCTCGACTCTAGGCAAGGCTTTCTGTTGAGAATTTTTGAAAGATGGCATGCACATTTGGGATGTTGCCGCAAAAAGATACTCGTTCGAATCCTACAACGTTTGACTTGACGCGTCGTTCCCTCAAGACTTCTTGACACATGGCAAGGTAGATAGGGCTCTTACCTCAAACACACGCCCATGCAAACCTGTCCGTCCCTCAGGCATGAGCATCAGACAAGATTTTATGTAAGTGTGTGCTTTCTCTAGTTGATGGGTCAAGGACTTGTCGGCGGCACAAACAAGCAGCAATGTGAAATTTTGACATAGTCCAACTGTGTAGTACAGGTGTGTCAAAGTCCTAACAACAGGTAGGTTGTTGGAGTAGGTCCCATCAAAAAATGAAGATGTAGGGGAGATTTGCCGTGTTAAATTTCGATCTAGCCTGTGCCAGAGGTGACTTCGAGTAGTGCTCGAAATATAGCCAGGAACCAGTCTCATCTGGCGTTTGAATGGCATCTCATTTGTACTTCTTTCCCCGGCATTATTCGAACATACTGGAAGAGACCAAAAGTTGCAGATGCGGTCGTTGTCGTCCTCGCGCCTGCAGGTCTGGTGGGTCGGACCGATAGAGATCCTTGGCGCAGGGAAAGTCTCGCACTGACCTACCTGCACATTTTTGACGCACATACTTATGCATCGTCGAGTACATAATTGCCTACCATGGCGCCGAGTGTGGTCCACCTACCCAATGGCCAAACCATCACTGTCTCTCCCGTCTTTGCTGGCCTCTCCTTCAAAGCCAATGATCTAAACATCCACCACTCCATCTTTCCCCCAGGCTGGACTATCATCCTCGAGACCGCTGACGGTGACGGTGACGATGACGATGATACCCAATCGCCTCCAGACGAGAGAGAGCAGCTCTATGGATCAAGAAGACATCCACCAAAGCGCTATAAGGCTCCTACGCTACACCACGACAGTCTGTTCATCTCCTCCATCTCGAATCCAAGCAACACAGATTTCAAGCCCCCTACCTCTCCTACGCGACAGATAGCTATGATGCTATGGGCGACTTTATGGTGGTATTTCCATCAGGTAGCTCCCATCCCTGGCGCCTTACGTGGACCATCAGACTGATTCTGGGAGCAAGCCCGCACCGAATGCGCGCCTCACCGCCGGCGCCCACCCAGATACACCGGAAGAAGGGAGGCCGAAGGGTCAATGGCGAGTTAGTGTCAGAAGAGAAGGTATATTCAAGGGGAAGCACACGCTGCAAAAGCTAGAGAGGATGGGTCTTATTGCCAGTGAAGAATCCTGCGTTGGCGCAACCCTGGACGAGAGAAGCGGGGAAGGCTGGAAGAAGATGTTCGTTAGCCAGACTTCCTTCTGGCAGATCGATCCCCGTATCTTCCTCTTTACTCTCTCTCCTACGCAGCACTCGCCGTACCCAGGAGCTACACCCTTCCCGTCGAGACCAGGGTCACCTAATAGAGAAGGCACTCCAGTACCTTCACCACGACCAGAGACTGCGGATCCTTCACAGCATGGACTTTGGTCACCACACTCCCCCGGGCCTTTCGCTTCAGGCAGCCATCTCCCAACCTACTACCCTCCTCCACCTCCCCAGTACACCTTCACCAACTCGATCCGTCATCCGATACGCCCAAAGCCTCCGGCCCAGGGCGTCACCTTCTATACCCGCTACATCCCGAGCGTAGGCCAATACCTCTCATTTCGAACGGCCTCCTTGGGTTCCAAGTCACCAAAATACCACGGACCTACGTCAGGAGGCATGAGTACCACCCTGAACTTCCTACCACCGAACTCAGGCGTCTCCTCAGCCACACTGCCGTCATCAGGGAACATCAACATCCACCCCTGCGACACAGACTTATTGCATGACTGGATGAACCAGCCGCGTGTTTCTGCGTTCTGGGGTGTCTCCGGCCCCATCGAAACCCAAGAAACTTTCCTCAAGGACTCGTTAAATAGCAAACATAGCTTCCCCGCCATCGGGTGCTGGGACGGCAAACCATTCGGCTACTTCGAGCTTTATTGGGTCAAAGAAGATCAATTGGGAAGACATCTCACGGGCAGCGATGTCAATGACTGGGACAGGGGCTTCCATGCTCTCGTGGGCGAACAGGAATTCCGAGGACGGCACAGAGTGAAAGTGTGGACGAGTGCGCTGGTGCATCACTTTTGGCTCTGTGATCAGCGGACGCAGAGGGTTTTGGTGGAGCCGAGGACTGACAATGTCAAGTGAGTCTTTTTCCCCCCTCTAAGCATGGTAGAAAGGAGAACTGGCCGGCACTGACCAATCGCACATTAGATTCATCCAATATCTACAAGACGTCGGCTTTCATAAAGAGAAAGAGGTGGCGTTTTCGCATAAACAGGCCGCGCTGATGAAGATAGGTAGAGATGGGTGGTCCGCCCCGGAACTGTAAACTTCAGATGAAAGACACCTTCCTAGGGAGGGCATACACAGCACGGAGATGAAGAAGAACATCAACAACCGATTGTCTTACGACAGAAGCGATTATAGATGATGGCAAGACAGGGATTACCGAGCCTTGCAATTTATTCCAGTCAAGCCGTTTCGATACGGTTTTGTCAGACTTGGCTAACTGGAGGAGCCCCGGAGTGGGCTTGACTATGGGACTCGGCTACCAGGATCGGGTGTCTGCAGGGGGGGGCATTTTATCTTTTTTTCGGTTCCTTTACTGCTTGCTCATCGATCTTTCAGCGCGAGACTGTATGACGGAGATTTAATGCGCCTCGAGCAGAGGCGTAGCGGGCAGCATCGTGGACCGAAATGCACGTCATGATTTATTCGCAAGGTTTAAGATAAGACTACCTGCGTCAGAAAAACGGAATCAACTAGTAATTCATGGTATCACAATGATCAGCGAGATTGAAGAAGAAGTACCCCGTGCCAAGGCCTCGAATGCTTCGAGCATACAGATGCAAGCCCGATCCTCTCTGCCTCATGCGCCTCCTCCGACCAGGCGTCCAAGTAGGGAAAAGGAGCGAATGTAGTCCGTATGTAAAGTCGCAACGCCGTAAGTCATGATGCACACCTCGGTCCCGCCTCCAGCACCCATGTCTTACCCTCTCTTTCTTGGATCTGATCACCGGTAGACAGGGCCTCCATATGGCTGGCCGTAATCATGCCCGCTTCCCTGCCGTCCACTAGCACGGTTGTAATCCTCGTCGTTCAAGTATTCGTCTCTCCTCGGTGGTGGGCCAGCACGGTCATAACGTCTCGGACTCTCTCCATAGCCCCTCGCATCCTCCTCCGCCTGCCTCCTAACTCGCTCAGCTCGCTCTCGAGCATTCTTTTCGAAATATCGACGGGTGTCATTTTCGTCAATGACAGCTTCTACCGGAGGAGCGCCCACAGGGACAGAGGCGGGCATTTGGTAGGAGCTGGGCTGGTAGCCTCTGATATCGCCGTCAGAACGTCTGAAGTCGTTCGTGGAGCCGCGACTGAACGAGGGGCTGCGGTGACGGCGGCCTGCGTTGCTGGGTGCGCGGTGATGATGGACTTCTGTTGGCTTTGGAATTTCCATTGGGCGAGGATTGTTGACAGGGATAGGGCGAGACCGAGCGGATGAGTCTGAACGACTCGGCTTGGGTGCTGAGCCTACAAAGCTTTCGGGACGGGGCTTGGTCGACCTTGCTTCGTCTTCAAATTGCTTGCCGCCACCGGGAAGGGCACTGTACGGCTGGCGGGCACGTTCGATGGGATTTGAAGGTGGAGGCGGCATGGGAGGATTAGTGTCGTCGATCGCGGACTCAGATGGAACGTTGGAGTAGGGTTTGCGTTCGCGCTCCAGTTGGGAGGGCATGTAGGTTGAAGGTGCGGCTGAGCTGGTGGACGGTAGATCAAAGCTGACGCTTGAGCGATGGCTTTGAGGAGCGTAGTCCCGTTCAGCGACGCCAGGCTTATGGGTCGGAGAGTCATAACGAGGTGGGGGAGGCTCCTCTCGACTCCGGCGGCGTGGAATTTCGATAGCTGCGTGCTCCGAAATGGAATCCTCCAACTTCTCACGGGTCCGACGATCCTCATGCCCTGGGAACAAGCGTCGTGAGAGCTCTTTCGGAAACCGCTCTTTTCGATCATCTGGGTTGCAGATTGGCATATCTAGCACGGCCTTCCGGAGCCTCCCAAATTCTTCTTCAGGATGTGCTTGAATGAGCAACGTTGCCCATCTCTCGAAGCCGACCGGTGTAAGGCCCGGTATGTCTGGTCTCTCGTCATATCTCTCTTGCACAAGATGGTGCTGACATTCGAGATCTCTGTACATGCGAGAGATTGAAGAGTGCTCGTCGTCGAAAACAGCTAAGGTTGTGTTAGCCAGCTGATCCTGCAATTGCGCTGGTCAAACGTACTCGGCCATGGATACAGCTCATCTGACAATTTGACGTCATCGTAGTATTTTACCATCTTTGTAGGGGTGATGACAATGCTATGCCGGGGCTCATAATCCTCAATCTGTAAAACAATTAGCAAACGCCCAGTACCTCAAACTGGCATGACCCATTGGGTTAGACGTACAATGTGCACTGCCAATCCGCGGAGAAATTGACCCAGTCTTTTCGTCGGATGGCCATCTTCATCGAACAGCTGACCCCAGATCTTCTCTAATGTAGTTTCTTCCTTGCTTGTCGAAAGCCTCGCGGGGCCTTTTGGTCTAACATGTGGCTTGTCGCTCGACTCGCTCGTTTGGCTATGAGGGGAAGAAGATCTTCTGGGGTTGAGGTGAGCAGGCTTCTCGTGTCGTGGGCTCGGTAGGTCGTCTGGTGAGTATCCCGATTGCGACTGTGGTGGGGTGTGGCTTGGGTAGTCGGAGTGCTTCATCGGTGAAGGAGGTGTGTAGACTCGGGTTGTCATGTTTGGTGAGGTCCCAGAAGTGGTGGATGGTGATAGAGGAACAGGTTGATGCATGGAAGGAGGAGGGGGTGAGAAGGCGCTGTGAGAAGGCACAGGCGTGGATCCGTCGAGCCCACCGCCTGTCTGCAATTGTTTTATGACGTTCTGTGTGATCTGGGCGATGAGCTCAGGCGGCACATAATTTGATGTCTCTGCGCCTGCCCTATCGAAAGCCTTTGTTACAGCCTCGTCGATGGGCTTCTGAGGCGGGGCGTATCGACTCTGTTCGGGCATTATCGATGCACGTCGGGCAGTTGACGCCTCTCGGTTTCTGTTGCCTGGCGGCTCGAATTGATCGTTATCGGCGGCCTGAGTGCGGGGATCCGCGTATTCAACACTGGGCTGCTGGTAAGCCATTCTTGCTCAGCTCGGCAGACGCAATCGCCAGCGATTTGGAATTGGTGGTGTAGCTGTCCAGCAGTCGGGCAGTCGGTCAGTCGGATTCGCGATGCTGTTTGTGGTCAGGCTATGCTGCTATAGCATGGTTTTTGTCTTTTGGATGACCTGCAGTAGTCTGGAGCAGGACAGGTGTTGAATAGGCAGTTGAAGGATAGGCGCAAGATGTTTTGCAGTCACAGGCTCACAGCTGTGTCAAGGAATACGGGAAGGCGATGATGTAGCAGCGGAACCTAGAGCTATTCCAGGTGAAACGTGGGTCGGAGAGTTCTGGAGGGCAAGGATGAATGGAGTTTGAATTGTTGCGAGCTTGGGACTCGAGGAATAGCGTATGGTAGACTGGGGGTAGTAGACCAGCAAATCAAGACATGGGCAGCATAAACTTGGCTTCTTGGCTCTTTGGATCCTTGGCTGGGCAATTGTTCAATTGTTCCAACTGGTGCAACGTCTGCGCCTCAAATCCTGACCGAGAAGGCTGGTTGGTAGGGAGGTAGGGTGTTAGGCCTGAATCCTGTATCATGACGCACTAAAAGCCAATCAATTCCGCCTGATCGCCCTCGCTTACGGTTGCGATACTCGTACACACCAACAGAAATATCTTTTCTCTCTCTAACTACTTACCTCACAAATAATACATAGTACCTAATACCTTACCCTTACCCCGTCACTACTACCACCGTCATCATCACCATCATTGAATGCCTCATGTCTGACAACCTGTCCTGATTCAAGTCGGTGCATGTGACCTTTTCTCCGAAGCAGCCAGTCCGTTACGCCTGCACCTGCCGTCTGCTGACCCTCGAAACAAGGCTACCATGCACGGTCCCTTGCAGCACAACGACGAAACTCCAAAATCAGTGGCCAGCTTGTGCGCTGCAGCAGCTTCATGTCTTGTCAGAAGTGGTGTTTCATACAATTGCTTTGAGCGCGTGTGGGCGTCTCGAACTCGTTTATATGTCGCCCGGTAGTGGCCTTGGGTCCATGCGTGGCTGCTATGGCTGCGCCACGCCAGATTTATGTACATCCGTTTCAAGTTGCTTCTTCCCACACGCTTCTGACGTGAAATGTCGGAGTATGTGTTTGAGGATGACTTCGAATTTGGAGGCAGTTATGTGCTAGAAATAATGGCTAGACCGGTACTGCACGGATTTGAAGACGACCTTAGGCTCTGGCCAGGCCAGTACGGCAAAGCTTTTCCTGTATCATCTATGGCCCCAACATATGCTGCAATGAAGCCTTGTGTACATTCGAAGCTCTAGAATTTCCCATAGTCTAAGAACGGGTGTTACGTGGACAGGAAGGGTGCGTTTCTCGCTGTACAAGAGACCGGGGCGAGAGGTGGTTCAAGACATTCAATTCAGCTATCTGCCATTTGCTCGAGCCTTTGAATCTAGCCTAAAGAGTAAAATGAGGTGCATGCATCTGTCTATTGTTCGCATCATCAGATATCTCCTGGAATCCACCATGTCCCCTTCGAGATCATCACCATTCAAGCTCGGATCAAGCCTAAAGGATGTTCAAGAAACACATTTAGTGTTGTCATCATGAGAAAGCTCCTCAAGCTCCACCGCTGCGTGCTTAAGAAGCTATCGCTATGCCAATCCGTCTTTGGTTGCCCGCTAGCTTCCCCACCATTGACATCGATGTCGTGTCCAATCAAGGAGACGACTGACGCCAGTGATATTCAGATGGTTCCCCAGTCGTCGTCTTCATCCCCATCATCATCGTAATCGGCTTTTGGGTCTGGGACCGTCTTTCCACCAACATATGATGGTACAACAATAGGAGCAGCTCGACCTCCTGGAAGTCTAGCAAAACGGGATCGCGCATCTCGCTACGTTTCACCGTCAGTCTTCGTCATCAGAAATGAAGCTGGGATACACACTTCCTCCCTAGCTCTTCGAGCTTGTTCACGAGGATCCGCAATAGTTTCATAGTCGGAGTCATTGGTGACGACTGTCGAAGCAGGGCGAACCATCTGATGAGCCTTGCCGTCACGGTCAAACCCTGTGAATTCTGCACCCCGTGTAGACTCAACAGACTCTCCACCGTTCTTGTTGGCGAAGTCATGCCATTTGCCAGCACCTGCAGGCGCTCGAAACCGTTTGGTGGTTGTCATAGAGGCGCTCGTGGCTGCCTGGCTGGCCGAGAGCTTTGAACCGTGACCATCGCTGGAGAAATTGAGAGACTTGAGGTTCTCCTGGTTGAGATCGTAACCTGAACCAGACGAGAGAGGAACTCCCGCGTTGGACTCGGTGTCACTAAATGTGGACTAGGATCATCGTCAGCTGTGTCCCAACCAAGATCCAAGCATCTCTACCCACGCTTTCATGGGTGTTGCTAACGCTATCGTCAGAGTCGTAACCATCCTCATCCTTGAGCAATTCATCCATGACTTGGTCTCTGTAGTTCCCTTCCACCGGAGTCTCTCCATTCAGCATTACTACGCAAGTGATGCACCTCTAGTAATATTATGAGGCTCATGCTCAGAGAGTGGGCAGCTTGGCTCGTGCTACATACCGCATTCTCCCCAAGCCGACGCTGTGCTCTGGCGAATCCGTCTAGGTCCTTGACCTCCTCACAAATGCAGCACTCCAGCTCAGTGACTTGCTTAGGTGTGCAGGCTACACAAGGAACCCATTCTTCGAGCGTGGCATTTTGAACCTGGCCGGTCGCTATGCCATTCTGGACTTCGAGCTGTTGAATTGTTGAAAAGAAGTTTACGGCCTTGATCTTGTGGCAGACGGCGCATTTGATCCTGAGATGGTCCGTAAGATATCTCGCTCGACAGACCGAACAGTGATTGGGACTCACTTTGGGGGGAGCTTGTAGCTCTGCAATCTAATAGAAAGCTTAGTAGCAGAGTTGTAGTCTATTGAATGAAGGACGAATATTTACCTTCGCTTCTTCTCCTCGCTGTAGCCTCCAGCGTAGACGGATCGTAGCTTTGGCATGATGACTTGGAGACTTGAGACGAGCGTATCAGCAAGGCTTTGTGAAGTATGTTAACGATGCATATCCTCTCAGCTTGATGTAGGACATAATGGGTGAGCGGAAATGTTGCTGGTAAGGGAGATGACCTGGTCTAGGGATAGCTTACTGGAATTGATGTAGCTGTGAATTTGTTGATTCGCTCTCAGACCGTTGTTTCTCCAGATGTTGGATGCCGGGGCAAAGTGGAAGGGAAGGAATTGAAATGCACTCGATGATATCGAAATCTTGTGGCTGGTAATGACAATGGAATATGTATGGGTAGGGAGAAGGGAGAAAGCTGGAAGGGAGGGAAAGAGGAAGATGTAGTAGGATGTAGAAGGGGGATTGAGGCCAAGGAAGACACTTGACGACTTTGGTGACTTCCACTTCACATCCGGATGTTCACTTCCGAAACCTCACTTGCCTTCACCGCAATGACCTGAGCACTTACGCCCATTTCGAAGACGGGCGAATGCGAATGATGATAGAGCAGATAATGATGAAAGTGATGAAGGCTGGGTAGGATCTAAGATGACCGCTTTGATTGCTACAGGAATGTTGTGTTTTTCTTCTACACAAATATCCCGCTAATAACATAGCAGCCGGCAACACGCAGCAAGATCATGTGTCTCAATTTCTGCGCTCTATCGTGTCTTGCATGCCTGCAACTACCCGTCAAAGTGAATACTGCAATAATGCTCATAGGGGGGCCACGAGCAAGATACATACAGTACCTGCGAGGTCAAGAAACAGCGCAAGCGATAATTTCAATACCAGCTCTTCACGTCCTGGCCGTCCGTCTGTCACTTCATGCTGTGAGATGGTTGGGAGAAGGTATAACTTCCGCCTCCCTACCAGGAGCTTCTTTCCTCAATGCCGATGCTTAGCACAATTTTCACAGGACCAGCGGATCATGTCATTGACATCGTTGAAGCTCGCAATTGATGGCTCCAGTTTCGATCTGAGAGATATCGATGGCTGCAAGGGCAAAGACTTCAAGATCGATCTGACCTGTCGCTTCCCGCTCGATTCGCTTCCCAAACGAGGGCTACGACAGTGACACCCACGGTCCCCACAACGTACAAGCCTGGTGATGGAAAAGGGTCGACGATGATCCCCACCCTACTTTACTTGCTTTAGGGATTCAACGTTGTGGCTTCCAGCATCCCAAATTCGTGGGTTCCCGTTCTCCCCGATAGCCCGGTCTTTTAGACGATTTTTGTCCAATGAGCATTAGTCCCGTTTCCCCTAACCTGGTCCCGCCAATTGGATAGTCAGGAACAGAAGGGTCCTGCAGGGATAGCATTGTGCTCTTCCAGATATAGGGAGATAGTGACAGGGGACTTAGCTTCACCGTGCCTTGATTTCCCTACGGACTAAGTCCAGGAGGAGCAAATGCCGGCACGACCCTAGGCCGGCAGTCAGAAGAAAGGAGACCAGCCCTCGTGCTCTACCCCCATCAATTAGGTGGCTGGGGCGATATCAACGTTCGAGCGATAGGCTTGCTGCCTTATCCTGGGTGGGAAAGGTGGGAAAGGTGGGAAAGGTGGGAAAGGCGAGCGCATCATGCTGCAGGAACTCGATTTGTCTTCATGCTACTCGCCACGCCGCATGCATAACCTCCGGCGCATATTTGAGCTCTGCTCTGAGAGACTGAGCTCCATTAAATGTGCGGTACCTTGATCTTCTATGCCCGACCAAAAGCATCTCAAGGGAAAGGGAGATTGATTGTCATCAATTAGTGAATTCCCTGGGGACCATCGATCGGTGTTACTGCGTAAGGTCCTTTAGCGCATGACACAGAGTCTGCGTATCATGACTTCAAGCCTCATCCTGGCATACCCCTTTGGGTAGTACCCTAGCTCAGTAGGAGAGTAGATTATCCTTAGTGTGAAATCGGTCAAGTCCTCGCCTGTGATGCTCAACCACGTTTCCTACGCGGGGCCCCCCAAAAGTACCTGTTAAACCAAATCTAATTAGGGAACGCCAGTTGGTTTCATCACAATCACGCCCTAGCACACCTCCCTTCCCACAGTCCAGACTACCAATTTCACCCTCACTCTCACCCTGATCCTTACTCTGTCGAACACCTATACACTTCTCATCATCCTCCTCATCATCATCCTCCTCATCATCATCCTCCTCCTTTCTACATCTCACCGCTACATCGATTTTCCATTCCTTAGAATTCCAGTGAGTTTTGCTCGTTGGTGAAAGCTGAAAGCTTAAAGCTTGAATTCCGCTCCGTATGCATGCTGACCGGACACGGCTGACAGAAAGTACCACCACCACCCATAATCCGCGCATCATTTAACTACGAGCCCATTATCTTCACTCCTTCCTACGTGATCCTATCTGTCAAAATACACGAGCTTCAACGGCACAGAAAAACGCGGACGTCATTGATGGCACAGGGGGCTAGCCAACATTCCTCAAGATTTAGGTCATCGGTAGCAACGTGCCTCAATTCCAAGCTTCTCGTCAGAGCTCTATCTCCAGCTACGACGCGATAAAAAGCTTTCATGGTCGCTCAAGCTGGGCAAGCTTGATTGGGAGTGGAAAGCATCGGACTATTGTTGCGCTGCCATTGGAAAATCGGCTTTTCTATTGTCTCGACTCGCAGCATCAATACCCACCGACCTTCCTTCACACGTGCCTATCGACATCAATGCGACACCAAGCACCCAGATCCCGGTCTATATAAAGCAAAAGTTGACAGTCTACTTTTTTGTTCTTAAAAGAGGCTGGGTTCACGGGGAATACGATTGCAAGCAAGGAGTTGCCTCGGACACCCATCGGTTTTTGATGCGTCAAGGGCTTTGAGACCAGATTTCTCCAGCATTTTTAGTTGGCGGTTGTCTGGAGGATTCAAGACCAGGCAAGAATCCGAGCGAAGAACGACATCTTGATCTCCAATTCACCTTCGGAGCTGTTGCGATGGCAGTCACACATGATTCACACTCTCGATTGGCGGCCAACGATTCTCTATCAGCCATGTGCCTAGAGGACAAGTTTGAACTTCTCAAGGAGATTGGCGATGGTAGCTTTGGCAGTGTCGCTTTGGCTCGTGTCCGAACGGCTGGTGCTCATATTGCTCGACGAGGCACTATGGTAAGCGTCACTTGTTTCATGGCGATCACAGAGACTCACAATTCACCAGGTCGCTATTAAGACGATGAAGAAGACCTTTGACTCTTTCGGCCCATGTCTGGAACTTCGAGAGGTCATCTTCCTGCGCTCATTACCCGTCCACATTCATCTCGTCCCAGCTCTCGAAATCTTCTTAGATCCAATGTCGAAGAAGCTACACATCTGCATGGAGCACATGGATGGAAACCTGTACCAACTAATGAAAGCACGTGAGCACAAATGCTTGGATAGCAGCAGCGTCAAAAGCATTCTTTTCCAAATCCTGTCCGGTCTAGACCATATTCATAATCACAACTTCTTTCATCGCGACATAAAACCAGAGAACATTCTTGTTTCGACATCGTCGCCCCAAGACAGCAACACTACCTTCCGGAGATATTCTTCAATAGTCACGCCTCCAAGTACACCACCCTTGTACACGATCAAGATAGCAGACTTTGGCCTGGCTCGAGAAACGCATTCACAACACCCCTACACAACTTATGTCTCGACAAGGTGGTACCGCGCTCCCGAGGTCCTCCTCCGTGCTGGTGAGTATTCGGCACCGGTCGACATCTGGGCCATTGGCGCTATGGCTGTTGAGATTGCCAACCTTAAGCCATTGTTCCCTGGTGGCAATGAAGTTGATCAAGTATGGAGGGTATGCGAGATTATGGGTTCGCCTGGCAACTGGTATGATAAGTCAGGCAAGAAGGTCGGCGGTGGAGACTGGAGAGATGGCACTCGACTGGCCCAGAAGCTAGGCTTCTCTTTCCCAAAGGTATGACTTTTGGCTGGATTCCCATATAGCAGAGCTTGACGATCTTTGCAGATGGCTCCTCATTCTATGGAGACAATCCTGAGGGCACCACAGTGGCCAGTTGCTTTGAGCAATTTTGTTACTTGGTGCCTGATGTGGGATCCCAAGAACCGGCCTACGTCAGCGGAAGCTATGAAGCATGAGTATTTCAATGACGCGGTTGATCCTCTGCGGCCAAAGTCCTCGGGCTCCCGGCTTCTCGGGAGGAAGCATTCAAGCATAGACGGCAAGTCTCAGAGGGATTCCAGCGAAGGTGCCGCACAATCTTCCAGGCCCTCCTGGTTCAGAAAGTCACTCATTCGTGATCATTCACCGGCCTTACCCATACAGGTGCCCTCTTCTCAGACTCAAGTAACATCACCCAACAGGTCGCCAATATACCATGCCAAGACAGCCGACAATGTTCCCCCAGCTGCAGAGTCTACATCGACCATCAGATACCGTCCGTTTGCCCACAAGCGAGCCACTTGGACCAACGGCACGAATCCTTCGAATGCTGCGCCGATGCCGATCCTCCCATCCATTCGGCCTATATCTCCCTTCTCGGATACTGTGACTGCGCAGTCACACAATAATCCAGTGTATAAACCCACAGGCCATGCTACCACGACGGTCCCGTCTTCTGATCCGAAACCGTCGAAAAAGATCGGCCGTCAATTGTCAGTCCAGTCAAACGGAAATCACTATGCTGACCTTCATCGCCAAGAGGCTGAGCGTGCCTTGAATGGGCAAAGGGCACCACCAATGTCTCCTAATAGTGAGCAAAAGGAAGGCTTTTTCTCCCATCTGCGCAAAAGAGCACGGAGGTTATCGGGAAAGCCTCAAATGCCAGTGCCTTCAAGCATGGATGACGTTGAAGCCAATGCAGGCTGTAGTCCCTGGCAAAGTAATCGAAACTCCATGATTGTTGATTCTAACATGGACACGATCTTGGAGAAGAGCTTCAACGACGTTGACGAAGCTCTACAATCAACTCGTCCACTCGCCGAGCCGCTCTCGCCATCACCCGAAGTCCCATCTTCGCACAAACAGCAGCACGGCCTCTCCAACGCTGAGAATTCAATAAATCGTCACCCATCTCTGTCAAAAAGTGTAAGCTCCCCAGCTTTGGACTCTTCGAGCTTCACAGGTGCTGGTGGGCCCATATCGAGTCGAACGCGACGAGCTCTCCACCGCTCGACCCATCCGAGCCATATGTACGACACACCCGACGAGGAAGACGAGTTGCTCCACGAGGCTCTAAATAGTGCTCAGAACGCTGCCAAGGGAATAGATGGTCGTAGCAAAGCTGAAGAACGGGACTATCTAAAGAAATTAACACAGGTAGACACTCCTCGACAGCCGTTGCGGGACACGGCCAACAACATGGCGTCTCTGAATCCATACCCTACTCCTTCGCCATCAGCTAAAAGGAACGGCGTTCTTTTCGATGCGAATGCCATGACGGAACCAGTCGAACCTCTCAAAATCATCAAAACTCGGCCGAAGGAGGACGTCCATCCTACTCCAAGATGGCCAACACCACCATACGAAGAAAACGAGTGGGCTGCCTCAGCGGCTGCTAGTATCTTCGCTGCTGGGTCTATCTACCAATAGATCCACCACCGTCCTTAACTCTATCGACAGACATCAATTGTCCATTGTACGACAACAACAATACTACGACGCGAGATGTATACCCCTGCACCATCGCTCACGCCATATCTCTGTTCATAGACCGCCACCACATCAAGCTGGTTGCTGGCCAACCAGGCCCATCCACCATCCACGGTACCTAATCAAATCAATCAATCTTACTTGCTTTTCTTCGCCACATACCCCCAAAGCGGCCTCCATAGACTATGAGGCCAGCTTCGCGAGTTTTGTTTGCCAGCTTACAACGTACCGACATAATATCAGTGCTACTATCTGTGTATCTAAGGTCGCTCTTTGCTCAGATATTTCCTTTATAACGTCGGTCGTTGTCATCTAGCTAGATTATCTTTGCTCTTTCCTAAGCTATCGACTGGAAAAGTGGAAGGAGACTGTACCATATGCATGTTTTTTCCTAATTATAAGCAGAAGGGAGGGAGGGAGAGAAGTGGGAATGAAAACGAAGAGGCAAGTAGATGCTGGGAAGGAGACACGTGGCTGTTGAGCGAGCCTACGAGCTTGTGAATAGAACAGTCGATCAGAAAAGCCATCTTTCCAATCACTAAAGTCACACCATACATGCATCGATGATTTCAAGGGTATCGTTCATACTCTACAAGTCTAGATAATCAAAATCAGCTGCTGAGTTCTATTGGAATGTGCTCTCCCTTGCTCTGAGTCACATGTAGACCAAATCGTCCTCCTTCAGCCAGATCCAAGCGTCCTGTCCTTCTCCCTCCTGATCGTCTTGGCCGATGAAGCCGGCTCAACAGCCACCCCCACGCTGTCAGCTCCCGCAAGCGATCCAGTTCCATGCGAACATGCCTTTCTCGGCCGCGGCAAGCTTGGTATGGCTTGGTCGGGTCGTTCTCTTTGCTGTCCCGATTTCAGACAATCGTTTTCCATCAAATATCAATCCCCATCACATGTTCACCCTTTCCAACTGAATTCCCCCAACCCGCCCAAAACCTCCTCCCCCACCCCTCCACCCTCCACGCACATCTGCACCATCCTCGCCAGCACGCTCCTCTTCATTCCCCCTTTGCTAGCCTTCCACACACCCTCTTTTCCCCCCTCTGCATCGATCCCCGCCCCGGCTTGTCCCACCTCTGCCGCCGAAGCGCAGAGTCGTGACGGCGGATCGATCGTCCTCACTGCTAACAGATTGAGACCCGTGGACAGGGACGAAGGGGCGCCGACGGTGACGGCGAGCACGGCGTCCGCGACTGCTAGTTCTTCGCGGGAGGCGTCGAAGAAGACGTTGTCGCCTACGGAGATGACGAGGAGTGTGATCGGTGGGCGTGCGGGGGAGCTCTGTGGCGGGGTTTTGGCGTCGGGGTAGGTGTCGGAGGAAGGGTAGAGTGGTGACGAGGCGTCCCAATCGTCGTTGAACAGCGGGTCTTCGTCGTGGTTGGATATAGGCGCTGGTAAGCGGGTGGAAAGGAGGGCGAGGTGCGTTGTTAGGGAGAGGAGGGGGAGGGGGTAGGTGTGGGGTGGGGAGAGGAGGAGGATCTGAATATAGAGCAGAAAGGTTAGATACTGTCGGTGTTGGAGGATGATAGATGGAGCTGGAAGGGTTGTAGAGGAGGAAGGCAAGAGGGAGTACGGACGTCGATATAAAGCCGCCAATGCCACCGTGCGTTGATAACCAGTCTGTTTCTCAGCCCTCCATCTGCGACTAGCCCTTCATGTATCATCTGCGCCAGGAACACTACCATGGCGTCGTCATCGCGCTGGCCGGGCATATCCACCGTAACCTCGATCCACTTGTCTTCTCCCACGCCTTTTCCTCTTTCCCCCTCTCGTTCTCCATCTCTCTCACTCTCTTCTATCCCTCCCATCTCTGCATCCATATTGTCATACCAGCGTTCATTCCCCAGTCCTTGAACTTTCTCTACTTCAGCCTTCACCCCGGCAATCGCCTCCGTGCCGTCTGCGAAACATAGCCTCGCGCTCCCGTTTGCAGCAGGTAGGAGATCTGTTTCGGCAACCAGGGGGCGGAAAGAGGTGGGGGAGCGGGCGTCGGGGCGGATTGGCGGGTGGAGGGAGAGGGAGGTGTGCAGGTAGGAGAGCTCGGAGGGGGAGAGGAGTGTGGGTGGAGGTGCCATGGTTGGAGGTCGGGTTGGTGGGGTTTGTTTGCGGGGTGTGTGGAGTAGTAGTAGTAGTGTAGTTATTTTGATGGGGTGAGACCAGCATCGGGGTCCAGCCGAAGGTATGCCCCACTGAGAGTCTTGCCCCGGGTGCTAACCCGTTTATTTTTCTGGCTACTTTGTGCTAACGCCTATATCGCTAGGCTTGAGGGTTTCTGTGGGCGCCTTCAGGAGATTTCTCTTAACCCGAGAATCTGGTACTTGTTGATGTGTATTAATTTATATCTATTTAAATATATTTTGTGCTCGGGGGCTTGCAACGCATATCCTTGGGGTGCTGAAGGATGTACCCTCTTGGCCCGCTCTATAAGAATTTATCTATTGATCGCTTAAATCTGATTTTTTTTTTAATAGTCTAAAGTGACTTAAGTAGCTCTTATCCTGGGTGTATATGTGGTTTAAGTGTTATAATGGGGTGGTTCGTGTGGTATTAATATTAATTAGATATCATTGCGTTGTTTAACGTTGTGATATTGTCTATCTTGTTTTATTACTATTTTTATTATTTATAGCGTTACTGTAGTATGTTTTTATTATAAAACGGTTGATAGGATTATCTTTAGATTCTGAAAATATTAATATTTTTGTTATTATTTATTTGGTATATTTTATGTCTTTAGGTATAGATATATAATTTTATATTTTGATTATGTCGTGGGCATTGGTTATGTTGGACGTATTTTAGTTGAAGCTTTGGCGATATGACTTTTTATTTTATAGATTGTTACTTTATTTGGCGAACTTCCTGTTGATTTGTTTGGGTCTTGCTCCTATGCTTAGTTTTTTTTTTTTTATTGTGGTTTGCGATATAGTGTATTTAACGTGATAAGCGGGATTAGTTCGATGATGTGGTTACTTTGGCCTTGACCTCGTTCTGCTATTCTATGTTCTTTAATTATTCTGTTAGCCTTCTCTTTCGGACCCTTAATGAGTTGGGATTTAATGAATTTCGCTTAGCGTTCGGGATATTGGGAGCGGATGATTTTGTTATTATATATTAGCCGATCGGCTTTAGGGCTATAGGCGTTACGATCGTGCCTATTATCTATAAAGATGATAATCGACCTCGTATTCTAAATTCCGGGGTTCTCTAGGATTTTTGGCGAGGTATGTTTATAGAGCTCCGAATAGACGGTGAATTAATTCGAGGCCGATGTAAGCGCTCTCGTGATTGCGCTTGGCTTCCTGAATAGATATTATTCGGACTGTCGTTATTTTATCGCTACTCGTGTGATATAGTATTTGGTTATTGTTATTTGGTCGTGGTTTTTTGGCCGTCTTCGGTCGGTAGCTGATATGGCTCGGTAAAAATTGAAGGTATGCAAACACAAAAATATGTATTTTTATATTTAAGTATTATACTGCACTTAGCATACATTTTAGTTGTTAAGTTATATTATTATGCGCCTACTTGTATTTAATCGCGGGCGGGGTGTGTGGAAGAGAAGAATTTAAGTTCCGCTAACTGCAAATGGGAAGGAAGTGTTTGCATCCCGCAAGATGTAGAGGAGAAAGGCAGTCTCAGCTGGCCTCGTTCGAGTACTATACGGGTTCATTTAAGGGTGCCCTATTGAAGCGCGACTTTTCTCTGTTCTTGTAAAGGAACAGCAGCAGAGAATTGGTTTCCACTTTTCTGCTGGATGCTCAACAATCTTTTGGGAACCGTACCAACTACGAATGCGATCCTTTCCACGACCAAGCTTGCCGTCTCCGCAATTCTTAAACGGCCAGACCCCAAGGGCCTCCATTCAATCTTTTGATCGAAGAAAGTAAACCACCTTTCCCACGTGTCGTAAGTCAAAGATGTGTTCTCGGATCTGGACGCGCGAGAATTCATAGCCATCCTAACTCGGAGCCGCGTTTCCTTTAATACTTGTATTCGCCGTGCTTAGTTCAGCGGTAATAAGCATAGGAAGTCCAATAACCCAGCCTGTGCCGCTATGATAAGCAAGTCTGGTCGAATCTGCACTAAGCCCGAAGGTGCCTTGAGCCGATGCTCGAAGTTGATCCCATAGGACTGAGAGTTGGTTGTGGGGTAGAACACCAGAACATGAAACGCCATCACTGGCAGATCTGTCCTGTCCGGTCCAAGACCAAGAAGCAGCCACTAGGGAATCCACAGATACGCAAGACTCGAGGATGGAGTCTCATATAGCCGGATTCCTACCAAATCCCCAACCACTTCTTAACGTGCTTCTTCCTACCCTCCCGATCATTAATAGGGCCCTCTCTCCCATCACCACCCTTCCCGACTCCCTCGGGGTCCACCTCTTGCCCCGGCTCTACACCTACCGGTCTCCCAACGGCACCATCAGCTTTCGCCCCCGGTCCTAGAGTCTCCACGTCACTCCTCGCCGTCCACCCACCCATCCCCTGGCTATTCTCATCCTGCAAGCCATGCGCTATGCGATAGGCATTCCTCTTCTGCACGTCCTCCACACTCCTCCTTCTTTTCTCGGCAGTCTCGGCGCTCGTTTTCGCAGTCTCCAATTTGAATACTTCGACCGCTTGCCAGAACGCGGTTAGCGGTTGAGAGAGGAAGTCCCCAGCTGTAGGTAGCTGTTCGCGGAAGGCGGTAGCCAGGCGCCAGTTTTCGAAGGCGGTGATGGAGGCGAGGAGAACGAGGATGCCCTGGCAAGGTAGTCTTAGTATTGCGTATTGAGAACGAGACTGGAGCCTTTGGTAATAAAGATAATTGTCAGCTAGCTTCTTACCAGGGAGATAAATGTGTGGATGCCCCGACTTGTAAGGAACCAATGCATGAACGTGCCTGGGGCAGGCATCATGTTGGGGTATTTCTTCGTCTGTTGTTCGTTTCTCTGCTCTCCTGTGAGTTGCGGCCCATAATGGCGTGGAATCTGTTGCTTCAGTCGTTTCCCATGGGAGGGAGGGTTAAACTTGGTCGGCTTCTCAAGGATCCGCGGCTTCGAGGTACTTGCGGACGCATTTCGACAGACAGGCAAGGTATAACGACCTACCTGCAGCGGTTTGACGGGTCTGGCTAATAGAGGGTATGAGAGCATGTACCCTCGAGGGAGGAGGAAGCGTGGGACTGTATGATTCATATTCGCTGCTAATGGATGGAAAGCTTGGGCGAGTTCCTTTACTTCTACGAGGCCGAACTCTCTCTGGTTTCGAGATTGGCGTTGATGCCAAGACGGCCGGAGTTAATATTAGCCTAGCGTCTTCCATCCAACCAACGGGGGAATACTCAAAGCCAAGGGAGAGCTGTTATGGGAATGCATCATAGCTTGCTCATCTGATTGGTGTCCAGAACCTGTCAACGTATCGTATTCAATCGGCTCGTGCAGCCATGTCGTTCGCAGCTCCTGTCTCCAAAGAGGGTTTCTGGTACAATGGAGATCTTTATGTCGAAGTTGGAGGCCTCAATCGACACAAGCGTGCTCCAGTTGCTGAGATCACAGCCATCTTGCGACCAGATTTGAAGATATCCAAAGCTGCGACAGTGCAGCCGAGCAAAGATCCTGTGGGCCACTGGTACGAGGCACAATTGATGCATTACGGGCTACCACCTTCGAAGGACAAAGCCAGAGCTAAGATGCGTCTCTTAGAAGCCGTCAATAGCTCAAATCTGGTGGTACCTTTTGGAATCAGCAGACTTGAAGAGTCTCTGCGGAAAGAGTTTAATGCGGCGGAAAAGAAGGCTAAGGCCCAATACAAATTACAATCGGGAGGGGAACGAAAGGATGCGGCAAATCCAAGGAAACGAAAACAGCCAGATTCTGCGCCCAACGTGAACGTTACTGTCAACTTCAATGGCATGGACACAATGCATTTTGGTGAAATGCCTTCTCCATCTGTGACTCATGCACCAAACCCCACTGAGCAACAGCTCCATTCTCCGAGCAAGAAAGCAAAAGCAACTCCCAAGAAAGACTGCAAGATCAGGGAAGCCATAATCAAGACAAAGGCCCCTCAAACAGCCTCGAACAAAAACGCGTTAGCAGCGAAAGACCCGATCACCAAAAAGCCTTCGTCCACGACGGAAGCGGTGACTGCCAAGCAGGGAAAAACTGGGGCTCAAAAAGAGCCAACAGTAAAAAAACAACCAGCGGCAAAGAAGGAGCCACCTACGAAGAAGGAACCAACAGTGCAAAAAGAGTCGATGGCGAAGAAGGAACCAACGGTGAAGAAAGAGTCAATGGCGAAAAAGGAACCAACGGTGAAGAAAGAGTCAATGGCGAAAAAGGAACCAACGGTGAAGAAAGAGTCAATGGCAAAAAAGGCCCTGACAGTCAAAGAGAAACCAGCGATGAAGAAGGAGACAACGACTGAGAAACAGCGGGCTGTGAAGACAGAGAATCTTCACAGCTACCCCTCGGCATCTAACGTCGGCAGCTTGGGTCTTATCAATGGTCTTTACAACATAGAATGTCCCACCATGCGGGAACAGTTCAGTGACAACTTCGATCCGGACAGTCTCTCCTTGATTCTGACACTTGACGGCCCCAGAATCTGGGGGGCTTATGACTTCGGTCAATATTCCGGAGTCCTCTTCCTCGAGAATAGACCATACAGCGCCTCCAACGAAGCCCTGCCAGTCAAGTGGCGTGGTAGAGAGAACGGCGAAGGTGAGATGAGCTTTGGCGACCACTGCTACGGTGACATTGCATTCCATGGAAATGGTCGGATCACCGGTATGCTGAATTTCTATGGCGACTGTGAATTCTCTGGCACGAGGCAGCCGGGGCCAGGGACAGCATTACGACCTGCTGCAAGTATGAAAGAAGAATGGGGGGGCTACAATGACAGCTCTTACAGCTACGAGGCAAGCAATAGATGGTAACTGCGGTAGCACACCGATCTTTACCCTCATTCGATGGAAAGCTTCTCAAAATCCCCAAATGATGGAGCGTATAATTCGGTATCTGAAACTTCAGGACTTCTTGCAATCCGAGCCATGATATCAAGGATGATCTTAGTACTAAAAGGGTTGCTTTCTGTGCCCAGAGCCTCCCTGGCCTGGACCCTGAGTTTTTGACTCCCTATCGACCTCTCTTTCCCATACCATTTAATGTTTTTAGTAGTAAAATGGTAAAGTAATTGATTATGATCATCTCCTGAATGAGATCCCTTTTCGGACTAGGCCCAAATCATGAATAGCGCTTTTGTGATCAAAACTGTGTAGATCAGCCTTCCCAACCAGATACACGCCATCTTTCGATGTGATTCCACGCAGCAATCCAAGGTTTGACCAGCTCTTCTTTCATCTCATAATCGACCAGAAGCACACCTGGTGGGTGCTTTTGGGTAGGCTTTTTCAGGTAGTCATCTGTCAGTATCCTGACAGCCAGCGGAAACAGTATCTGGGTCCAGGTGGCCCTCAGCTGGTAGACAATGGGCTGCTCCTTCGGTACTTTCGTCATTCGCTTCTATAGTGTAAGAATAAAAGCTCGACTTCGAATCAAAGCTTGGTGATGTTGTGAGCTAAGATCTCAGCTACGAACCAGCGCAGGATCTGTGAAGACTATCTGCTATCCAGCACCGAGACGATCCCCCACTACCCTTACTGAGGGCAGCACCCAACAAGCCTTCAGCCTACGGTGAGGGTGAGATCATGCGTGGCAGCGATCCCCCACCCACCACACCACTACGGCTGCGGAGACGGTTCGGGGGCTCAAAATGAATGTTTTTCGGTTGGGATTGCCTTCGTCCGATGCCTTTTCTTCAAGGTCGCCACTCCGACTTACGTTCTTTTCCTACATGAGACGACGGAGACTATGTAGAGTTTCTAGGATCCAGGGGTGCCCGATCACCTCGCGTCCGGTATAAGGTGTAGGGTAAGTACTTTTGGCGTTTTATCTCGCGAGTCATCACAGCGCTGCCCGCTCGAGGATGAAGCTCGCACCGGGACGATGCAGCCAGCAGACGCCTCACGCCTTTGCTCCATGAACTCACGTCTTTTCAAAGGTAGCCTGCAAAATTATCCCCGAGGCAGAGCATTGCCAATGATCAGGGAATGGACCAAAAAGCCTATCGGCCGACTGTTGCAGGTTGAGTTCTCGTTCTAACAAATAATGGAGCTGAGCAGGTCTAATAGCATGGGAATGTAGACGTGACTGGGAGTAGTGACTTTGATTTATTGACAGTATTCCAGTTGGGGGAAGGAAGGGAAATGTTGTATGACGGGATCTCGTACCTGTTCACCCCTTTTCGATACATGTACTTCCCCTCAGATCGGATTTGTTTCCTGCAGGATTGTCTTAGAACGTCGGAAATCTTCTACTTATTGACATTTACATCTCATTAGCTATTATCATCGCCGTATATCTTTCTTAAAATGAGCAATGATATAAAAGCCCTTAGGAGGTCCCGCCTCGCGACTTTCTTGTCCTCATACCTTTCTTACTTATAATTCATCTCGATACTGTGCTGCCGATCTCTGATCACCGCACATCAAGAAGTTCGACCTACCACAACTCAACTAGTACATCCACAACAAAATGTCTAGTCTCGCGATCGTTCTTCTGAAGCAGACCTTAAGGTTTGCTTTTCACCCTAAAGATCACTCTTCAAAGGTTATTGTATTTTGAAAAGAGCGACGTTTGATGCTCCGCCAACATTTGTTACACAAGGGTCACCAGGGTATGGAATAGCCAGTCTTCCACAAACCCACAGACTTATCCAACAAGCTCTGGCCAGGTTCAGCAAATCGACTCAGCTCAGTGATGCGGTCTAAGTCCCGTACGCTTTGCACAGAGTCTTCACGCTCCGGTTCAAAGACCTTCTCCTGCGTCCGCGCGATGTCAGCATGAAGAGGATTTGCCTAGGAGGACAGCGCTGCGTAGCTCCAAGCTAGACCGTCCATTGTTTTTAGTGTCTACTCATGAGCTCACGTCGTTTGAATCTTAATATTCTGTCTGAGTAGGTCAGACAAGACAAGACGAAGCAATCTAGCCTCGGTTCTTATCGGGTTTGCGATCCGCCATCGTAGAGTCGACCAAGAAAGGCACCATCAGAAGCGTGTCATTTTTTTTGAATAGAGGGCCCCATACACGCTCCAACCCGAATCTCGTTCCAATAGACGGCGTTACGATATCGTCACCGAGGCGGACCGTTCCTAGCTGCTCGAATCTCGAAATGCTGGGGCACTGTCTAACTTGAGTTTGCCTTTTACTTGTGAAGAGTCGCCTTTACCATTGAGGTTCCAAAGCGCTTATGATTTCTATCATACCTAGCGCACGCTGATCCGGGTCATGGGCCAGGCTGAGGTCGAAGAGCTGGCTTAGTTTGGCTCTTACCTTAGGCTTGAGCGTTGCGGTCCGCTGCCAAATTATTGGGAAGTACCTTAGTCTCCACTGTTGGGCACGTCTATTAACACCACTAGCGTTAGGGCTACACTGTGTCAGCAGGTCCGCATGGTGGAAGTACAATTCTTCGACCTATGTTGTACCCTTTTCGGAATTAGGGTAGACGCTGACAATTATCCGGAAGAGAATGATCAGTTCAAGCAACGTACGCTTGTTTCTGATGCTAACGATGTCAGGTCGGGAGAAGAAGAGGCAGAGTAAAGGCCTACAGTCGATAGGTGCCTGATCGGAGAAACTGCATCACCTCTGGCCGCGCTGACCGCTATTCGCCTATACATGAATATGTAGTCATGCTTTTGGGTAGTTGAAAGCCTGGGATAATGTTATCTATAGCACACAACCCTTCGAGTCAAATCACGCATATGCTCAAACTTTCCAGGAAGTGTGCTTCACGCAAGAACTCAGCGCAACGTGGTCAGCGTTTGCTGAGCACCAGTCGTGGACTATCCATGAAGCCATCTGCTCGCAAAAGCCAAAGAGCCCCAGAATAGTAGCTTCATGAGAGTGCATGACATCGCTTGACCTTGAGCAGGTACTAATCGCAATCGTTTGTACGAGTTCTTGCCATCCGAAATTTCACCATGGATGCCGCTGGCGACTGTCAGTTGGATGATCTTTTGGAGACGAGAACCGGAAGCTTACATTCCCTTCCCATGTCCAGAATGTCCCTGTATCCAGGATGGTCTTCTGTTCGACAACCCGAAGCATGCCTGCCACTGACTCGTCTGCATTAATGATACCCTCGACTTCCCATCCCAGAGATACGTTTGCCATATCTCTTTTATGGTTAGTCAAAAGCTTCATTCAGATGGCGTTAGGGCTTCTCACGTTGCAACCTCGCCCGGATGCATAGCTAGAATAGTCGTAATGTATCTCTTTCGTGCCAGCTCCGACGCCATATGCTAACTCGGTTCAACGAAGACCATCAAGTACGAAACTGAAGCAAAACGTTTACCCTGAGCATCTGATTCAATGCTGCTTTTGACGCAGCGTAAGCTGCAAAGCTAGAAAAGCATGCTTCAGCATAGCTTAGTAGTCTTGCGTGACAACTGTTGCGTACCCGTCTTCGAAGTCACGAAAGTCTGTGGCTGAACCGGAATCACTAGACATGAAAGCGATGCTTCCGATAGGGATACCGGTGTGCAAAAGTCTTTGAGCAGTAATGATTGGTCCAACAGCATTCGTTCTTAGATGGTCCGAGAAGTTATCGAAGGAGCTGATCGGTCTCAGCAAGCATTCTTCGTTCTTAGAGGCAGAGGTGGAGATATTACAGCTCAGTAGCTCGCTAAATCATCAACACATGAGAGAAATCATCCGAGATGCGACATGAGACTTACATTGGGGTATTGAAGGATTCCAGCATTGAGAATCACATAATCAATCCTATCAATGTTTCTCAGTGCAGCTACCTCTCGGGCAAAGTTCTGAGGGTTCTGTCAGGTTCTACAATCACATCATGAGACTAGGTTGAAGAATACATTGATGCTGGCCTCCGAAGCTACGTCGCATTCAAAGAGCTGGCATCTGCCCATAGCTGCGGAGCCTGCGAGTGTCCAAAGCCGGGAAGCTTTTGCCACATCCCGTACAGTAGCCAGGACGTGGTCACCTCTAGCAAGAAGCTGGCGCACCCACTCGAGTCCGATGCCTCTACTTGCGCCGACAACAATCCAGATAGCTGGTGCAGCCATCGGGTATCAAACCCTGAGGTACTTGCAGGTGTATAGTCGACGGAAATGCCTCCGGGACTGCAGCGGCTGATGCTCAAGCCACAGAGTCCGCGCTGCCATAAATCACCGAAGTAGCAAGAGTTGGAATCTCGTCACTTGTAAAGAACGAAGCAGTATGTCTGGTTTTGAGCCAATTGAATTATGAAGTAATCCAACTGAATAATGGTGAGCTGTTTTTGGAAGACCGGAATGTACAGGAATCCGGTCGTCGGGAAAGACCGGGCTTGAATTGGATCTCTTTTGATTGGATAGCCGCATAAACCTTCCGCTTTCTTTTGTTTCGTCATTTACAATGCTTTTTCGCCCTGCCAACTTGCACTTCAACTTCATCTCACGCGACGACCACATACCTACAGATATTTGATAGACGACCCATTTCTCTATTCAACATGGCAAAAGGCCCTCAAGGCTTCTCGGACGGTACGTGTCTTCACCTCCTGCTTCCCGCTTCATCCAAGCTGTCGCGCACCTCGAGACGCCCCTTCTTTCAGGACTGCACAGAGCACTGCAAGGAAGCTTTTATGGCTCCGTATTGCTTCGTTTGCCTTCAAAGATCTCTCTCTGCACAACTATTTCAAAAGATGACGAGGTCGAATGCCGCTTTTGCCACATTCACCGCATTTATCCCGTCTGGCGCCGTCCTCTTAATGCCTCGGAGGCAACCATGATGGCTCTGGAGTCTCAGGCTTAGTCCCAGAATTGTCGATGCACTTCGATTTACTTCGGAGTTTGCTAGTGGCAACAGGCGCAATTACAATACTAAAGTTATCTACAATAGGTGACGACAAGAAAGGCGCCAATCTCTTCAAGGTACAGACTGGATTTCTCTGCACTCTAAAAACTACGTTGACTGACCAAGTCTAGACACGATGCGCCCAATGTCACAACCTGAAGGAGGAGGAGGGCAACAAAATCGGACCCAACCTCCACGGCTTGTTCGGGCGCAAGACTGGTCAGGTGGAGGGCTTCTCATATACGGATGCGAATAAGCACAAGGCAATTGAGTGGAAGGAAGACACTCTGGTATGATACAGAGTGGCCAGATGACAGAGACATGTGGCGCTAACAAGCGGTCTCCAGTTCGAGTACCTAGAGAACCCTAAGAAATACATCCCAGGTACCAAGATGGCTTTCGGTGGTCTCAAGAAGGCCAAGGACAGGAATGACCTGATCACGTATGCACACCTATTCAGACGTTTACGTAGGTGTACTGACTTTCTGCCAGCCATCTTCGCAACGCCACCAAGTAGATATTCCTCTACCTACCACCGACTCTCTCTCTCCACTCTCATGGCGACTCCTTCGATGCATGCTCGTTCAACTGTGTAGTATACGCCTTAGATTGACTAGAAAGGGCGGGCGAGTGTTTGGAAAAGAGCTTAGAACATCATGGCATTGACTGCCTCGGTTTTTCTTTCTACAAGTCGGGCTGCTATTCCGCATGTTTACTCCAGACAGGGCGTAGTGCGAAGGCTGCTGTAAATACAATAATTCAGTCTTCTGTGCTTTGCTCATATATCAATCGCATATGCTCCTAACATTGACACTGAAGGATCATATTGCCTTGCAGCGGCAGATCCATTTCGCTTGCACTCCTATCAGGTATGCTCCGGCTGTTCAGTCTCCCCAATGAGGAAAGCATTGCCATCATCGCGGTAAGAATATTTGGTGTAGGACCAGAATTTTGGCGTGCTTGGCTACGGCAGCCCTTGCATCAGTGTCGGATGGATCCCAGCACAGGCAATGATTCGCTCCCAGCCTCGCCATTTCAGAGACCGCTTCCAAGGCCACCCTCACAATGCCCCTCCTCCGATGTGCAACCCCGTCGCAAACATGTCCGCTGCATCCAAAACCTGACTCGAATTTCAGAAACAACGGCGAAACGCAAGATCTTTATCAGAAGGCTGTGTGCTTGTGTTAAGAGACCGAAACAAGACAACTGCTGACGTTGAAATAGTGCGCTAGACGTCAACAAAAGATTCACGATCCTACCTTGATGTATCACTTCTCCCTGGAGGAGACAAAAAAACATGATGGCAACAAACCGCATGGGGACATCCCCACACGAGATCTACGACGACCACCCATCACTATCAGCATCGCTAGAGGACTTTGAACACAACGATCGATCACCGGTCTTCGGTCTACCGTCGCAACACTCAGGGTTCAAATCTGAAGAGTCAGAGTCAGAGTCAGAAGAAGCTGTATCCGAGGAACCATGGTCACCGCCCGCATGGAGACAGCAGAATGCTGCTGGAGGCTGGTATCGACATCAACCCTATCCACAAGACAAGAACCTCTTGAAAGCCTCTGCGAGTGCGTCGCGCTCGAGAGGTACCAGCCCGCAGTATGAGAGTGCTCAGGAAGAGGAGGGAGATATTACAGTGCCTGCAAACATACCACTGCCACGAGGCTCAATGTCCCCAGTGAAGGAACGGTCGCCAAGCCCCTCCCCATATCCTGAGGAGGGGCAGGAATTTGCTCAGAAATTTGAAGAGACGGAAGAGGCAGTAGCTGCGCCGGAAAATACAAACAATTGTGTGCTCTGCCCCTGAAGGTGCTAGGAATAATACTGACTATGCTGAGATTTCCGATTTGCTCTACGCGCAGAAGTACAACAGCGGACAGAGCCAATTGAAGCTGCTCTATCATGGATACGCACATATCTTACTCACGTCTCTAAATCATGGACCTCCCTCTCATCCACCCTCCTGATGCTAGCCCTTGCCTACAGCTTGCTTCGCCTTGTTACCCACACGCCAACGCAACCCCCAGTCCCCGACCTTGTCAAAGTTGCTGGTTTAGCCCGCTCTTTCGAACCCCTTATCTTCTACTCGGAAAATGGCGTCCGCCAAATCGGCGACTTGCAAGAGACTGGCGTCGCGGTCTGGGACCTGGGAGAATCGGTCCGCTACGCAAATATGACATCCGCGCCCCTTATAGTCTCCGAGCTCGACTCCCTCAGCGAGTCTCTTAAGACCCTTGCCATTGAATTAACCAAATTCTTCGCAAATGTAGACGGCGACATCGACGGCATACTAATCGTCATGGACTGGGCCAAACGCGAACTATCAGCCCTCTCTTCCACCCCATCTGGCTCCCTCAGCTCCGCTTTTACAAACATCCACACTCTCCTCTCCCACGTCGGTGTCTTACAAAATCCCTCCACTGGCCTTCCCACCCCGTTTGGCAAGCTATTCACCACCGTCTTCGGCGCCACGAATGAGCAACGTACATCCCAAACGCTGCACCGCACCTTCAACGAGTTCTTAAACGTGCTCGAAGAAAGCATCAATGCCGAACTCACATACTCGACCACCCTCTTCGCCCTCTTTGAGAACATAGACCGCCAATTCCTGAACCTGCAGCGCACCGTCATCCGCGAAAGCGACACCCAAGAGCGTCTCGAGACCGAATTTCTTAGCTCCCTATGGACTCGCATCGTGGGTCCCAATCACACGCTACTACGCAAGTACGAGAAGAACAGACAACTCCTCGCCTCTGTCCGTCTGAAGACCACACAGAATAAATCCCTACTTGTCGAGCATAACGGGAAGCTCGTGGCGCTGAAAGGCAATCTTGAGACCTTGAGGAGGAAATTGGTCAGTCCGCTTGTGAGGAGAGGCGACAGCAGCACGATTGGTGTTCAAGAGCAGGTTCGGGGCTTGGAAGGGACGTACGAGCATTTGAGGCGCGTGAGGGAGAACCAGAAGGGACGGGTGCTGGAGGTGCTTTATGGAGCTGGATCGAGGAGAAGTACGATTGGTCGAGAGGGCGGGGTGGGGCAGATTGAAGCGATGTAGGGGTCGGAGATGGGGGGTTCAAGGTCGTTGGATTTTTGGATATAAGGGCACGTTTGCGACGATGGAATGTGCAACGGAAAGGCGTGAGTGGTCCGGTTCGGGAAATGACTAGGAGTTGAAAAATGGAGTAATGGTTTCTCTTCGTAACTGAGATTTGGACTTTTTATGCCCTTTTAGAATTGGATAGCATGCACTGAACATCAATACCAAACACCAATACCAATCTCACGCCTCCAAACGCACAGGCTCGCTGTCAAGGTATCATAAAAAGCGCACTAACCCAAGAACCCGCAACAAAGACCGCCCCCCTGTATTCATTCCCAAGAACAGCTCCGACAGTGACACACCCAACCGATCCACCTAGAAATACGGAAACACAGCCAACCTCTCCAGATCCATGCCCAAGAACCCGGCCGCGCCGTCATCTCCGCCATCGACCCTCGTCCTCTCCTTCCTCCTCCTCTTCTCCTTCTTCTTCTTCTTCTTCTTCTCACCGTCCGCACCACCACCAGCGCTCGAACCCTTCGTATCCACCCGGGCAACCCGAGCGCTTTCAGAACCCCCGCTCTCGATCTCGCTCCCGCTCTTCCGGGTCTCCACCCTCGATATCTGAGAGACGCCGTCCTCGTCCTTGTCCTCATTCTTCGTCTCCACCTCTGAAACATCAGGGTTTGCCAAATCTCTCCTCGCAACCTTCGTCTCCGTCACCGCCCTCGACATCTCCGAGATGTCTGCCCCGTCTCCTCCGCCCCCCGTCTCCGTCCTCGCCATCTCGGAACTTCCCGTACTCCCGCCCTCGGTCGAATCCTCGCTCTTCGCCTCCGAACCGTCGTCGTCGTCGTCGTCGATGCCCGAACCGGCCTCGTCGCCCCAGCGGACGGTCTTTCTCGATTTGACCACCTTCTCGACCCGCACCTCCCGTCTGCTGTCCCGATCATCATCATCATCATCCGTACCGCCCGATGTGCCACTTCCTCTCAGCTTGGCGCCGAACATGGCGAGGACGACGGGGAGGAGGCAGGATGCCGTGGCGATGGCGGCGAGGATGCTCGCGGCGGGGTTGGCGCCGAGGGTGTCGAACATGTGCTGCGTGAAGAGGGGGAAGACCGCGCCGAGGAGCGCTCGTGCGGCGAGCAGGGCGGCGAATGCGCTCGCGGCGTCGTTTTCGCTCTTGGTGTGGGATTCGAGGATGTAGCGGGGGAGCACGGTGGAGTGTTCGTTTACACCGTATCCGAGGAGGATTAGCGAGATCGCGGAAGCGGGCCATGCGACGACTTTCACGTGCACGCCGGGGATGGTCCATGCGAACCACCACAGTGCCACCGCCAGCACTGGTGCCCCGATAGCGAGGCCGAGGAGACCTTTCTCTGGGGCGAGGCGGCGCTGGGTAAGACGGTGCTGACGGGAGGCGTGGCGGTCGTGGAAGCGAGTGAGCGTGCTGAAGAAGAGACCGAGAGCAATGAACAGGAAGATCAGCGTGGTCTTCTGTCTGCTCCACGCGTAGTGTGCGTAGATGAGTGGGAAGGCGATGGCGAAGAGGTAAAGGAGAGCGGTGCTGAAGGCGTTGGCTACTGATGAGAGGAAGATGATCGGTTTGGTGAAGAAAAAGATCACTGGCTGGAAGATCGAGGGTTGGGGGGTCACTGGGGCAGTCCGGAGGATCAAGTCTGCACGGTGAGACTGGATAGCGGCGACTTTGCGCTCGAGGAGCCGGGAGGTGTGCGACTCGCGGATGAAGTACATCAGCATGCCCGTAACGACCACGATGATGGTTGCGAGGTAGAAAGGCCAGCGCCTGCGCTGCATATTAGGCACGTTCACCCTGTGTGATATGGGAGGGAAGAGTGTACCAGTTGAGCGAGACAGCAACATAGCTCGTATAAATGGGCCCAAGGACGAGACCCAGATTCGTCGCCAATGCCCAGGAAAAGAAGGCCCACATGCGCCCTTCAGTGCCGAAGAGGTCTTCAATGCTACGACGAGTAGTGATGGCTGGGATAGCGGAGATGACACCAGTGACGAAACGGCCGACGAAGACGCCTGCGACATTTGAAGTTGCGGCCACTGGGAGGCAGAAGACGCTGTAGAGGAACGCTGAAGCGATATACAGCGTCCTGCGTCCGAATTTATCGGCGTATGGGGATAATAGTAAAGCACCCAGTGCCTGACCGAGCAGGTACCTGGATTCAAATCAGCGTTACGCGCATTGGAAACAATGGCCCTCCCAACGTATCCCACATACATTGTCGTGAACCCAACGAGTCCCACCTCCCTCCCATGGCCCAGAACCCCCGACCCGTAAAACGACGCTGGAGTCCCCCCGGCGCTAACGGCGCTCATGGAGAACTCCAAGAACAAGATCAGGCCAAGATCATAAGCCTTCCTATCCCTCGACCAATTCCTCGGATGCGCCGGACTATCCATAGCCCATTGCACATAGCCATCATTGCCGACTTTCAACCCCGAACACGAAAGCGACTCATCTGCTGGTAAGGTAAGGCTCGCCTTTGAGCTATCGGCACTGATGATAGCGAGCTTGTTGTTCTGCTCAGCGCGTTTCTTGTCTCTGTGGTTGTCCACTGCATTTTGCATAGAGGTCGCGATGGCAAGGTAGACTTCTGGACCAATGGGTTCGGCCATGGTGCGTCAGGTTCTCTATCCGTGCATGAGATGAAAATGAAAAGTGGAGAGGGAATGAGTATGAGGAGTCATGCATGTGCGATTATGTTGTGTTGCGGCGAATGCTGAGCTCTGCCAGAAAATAAGAAGCACCGCAACACAGGGATCGAACCTAATACGAACTAGATACCTCCAACAACACGACCACAACCAACAGGCGTCCCCCCCCGGACGGTAAGCCAACCAACGAACATTTCGCTTTGCAAATCAATGCATCGCACGGAATTCGAACCAACGGCTGTTCCCAGTTAAGAACTTTAAACCTGAGCTCTGCCAGAAAATAAGAAGCACCGCAACACAGGGATCGAACCTAATACGAACTAGATACCTCCAACAACAGAGCTGAGGGGTGATCATGGTCGGAGCGCAGCAGCTGGGATTCGCCAATCAGACGCTAGTGACATGGGTAGGGACTGTTTCAGAAACAAACGTCCGCCCAACGTGAGATTTCATATCGCTTGGGGCTGAGACTTGGCGAAAAATGAATAGAAGAGAATGGTGGATGCTGGGTATCGATTGGCTTGATCTAAGGCGCGCTGCCGTGCGGCACGCAGCATCCAAAGAATCCAAGCCACACTAATCATGACCGCCTATCACCCGTGTGCGATAGACAAGGAAGGCAAAAGCCGACAATGCATGGGCAATCCAAAATAAAGAAGTGCTCGACAGTCAACGTGACGGAGCATATTTTGCGAACGCAACTGTGGGAAATATAGAGATCAATCGGTGTCAAAATGCAAATTATTGAACAGCGAACAAGTATGTACAAGAAAATGAAATGGGTTGTGTCACCTTGGCCGCTAAGTGGGATAGACGATTAATTATTGGGGGACATCAGCGATGCCAGGATTCGCAGACTTACAGGCGGACTACCTCCGATCAAACCACCTTCCCCAACCCTCAGGCCTCCCTTCCTCTCCACCAGCAAACGCCCTCTCTTCCTCCTCCCACTGTGTCCTCTCCACTTTCTCCCTCGCCCCAAACGCCCTCACAAACCTCCACGCCTCCGTATCCGCCATATTCCACGCCTCCACCATCTCTTTCACTCCCGGCTTCTCGTCCTTTGCCTTCTTCTGCTTTATCAAGTCTTTCGAGTTCGCAAGCAACATCTTTTGCATGGCATAAGCTCTATCCACCTGTTTCTTTTCCTTTTTGGATAAAGGTAGAGTCTCGGTTTCCGGACCAGTCACATTGAATTTCGCGAGTTCGAAGCCGAAATGATACTCCAAGTCTTTGTGCTCGGGTGATGGATCTTCCGTCATCCATAAGCCGCGCGCGACACCCCAGTCACTCGCCACAATCTCTTTGAAATTGACGATACGTGATGGACCCCCAATGTTTTTTCCAAGTGTCTCCTCCGTAACAGCGCCGAGCCAGCGATCGCGCTCTGTTTCGCGCCGAATGTGTCGCGTCGTGATGTCTTTTTTGCCGGAGAGGAGAGAGGCAAGAGTGAGAGGGTGGGGGATGGTACCAATGGTGTAGATAGTTGAGCTGTTGGTATAACACTCCGGTTTCTTGACTGGAGGTGGGGATATTGAGGAGCATGGCGTGCAGCTTAGATTATTCGGAGGGCAGGATGATGGTACAGGGGAGGCCGGACAAGATCTTAGAGCGTCCGCAAGGGCGAGGGCGTACTCGGTGAGTAGATGGGTGTTTTCTGAATGTGGTGTCAAGACCACGAAACCGTCGGTAAAGGTATTGAGAAAGGTGAGGTGGAGGTGCGAGGTGATTAGCTGTGCAAGATCGCGCATGCCGTCGGCCTTGTTCTCGGCGAGTGTGGTTGTGATGGATTTGTAATGTTCGGCATTCGTGTTGGCAGAGTAGAAGGCGATAGCATCTGGCTTGGGATCAACATGTATGGTCTCGTGCTTCACAACGTCGAAGATTGATGTCGACTTTTCCAGCTCAGGAGATTTCAGCGTCTCTGAGATAGCAGCGTTGATGGCATTCTTCTCTCCGGAGTAAAGACCAGCCCCTAGGCCTTCGTACCGCGTCAGCTTTGAGTATTGGCCTCGTCTGAAGTGTGACAGCAGATGGTCATCGTGAGGACCCATAGGAAGAGCCAGCCAGTTTGCAAGTATGCCTGTTCCCATCTGGCCCCAAGCCGACCATCTCACGATCTCAGCCTCCATTTGCGGCTGCAGCTTGTGCATCTGAATTGCCTCATACAGCGGGTTCATCATCGCCTCTGACCTGCCCAATATGACCGGCCTGAGCCCCTGAGCCCACCATGCTCTCCTCCATAGCAGAAGGAGCTTGCTCTCCACGGCCTTGATCTTCTCGTCTTTCTCCGCTAGGTCGTCGTAAAATGTGTAGATTGGCGGTCTTGTCAACAATGGCGGTAGCACTGACCTGTCTTCATCCTGTGTAATCGAATATGAGAATGGGTGAAGCCATTTCCAGTCACTGTACCACTTTGCATCTCCACTGGTACTGTTCTTCTGCGCCGGAGGCTTGTGTATGGGTGTGTGGTGGAAGAGACGAAGGTCCTGTACCACTGGTACGGCGGGCGAGGCGAAGAAGAGAATGGCTACGAAGACAGATGCAGCGATGATGGTGTAGAGCAGCGTTCTCTGAGGTGGAGCCTTCGGCCTGGGATATGCCGCGGATAAAGATGGTTTACGGTATCTGGAGGGGGCAAGTCTCTTCTTTGGGGGATACAGAGGCACCATTGTCTTCCAAGTTACATTGGAATGGCAGCCTCCCCCACTCCCTAGCGAATGACTTATTCTGCCAATAGACGTGATGGATTGAGGATTCGTCATCTCGCGGTCTTCGCTTTCGATAGGGCTGAGTCCGATTCGGCGCTAAGGACCTGAACTGGGATAGAACGAAGTGGACAAAAGGCCAGCAGACATTTCCTGTAATTAGGAGTACCATTTTGATCACGTAAGATGGAGATATCAAGTGCGGTACAAGGATCCATTCTGCTTTCTTCTAGCTATTTACGTACGTTCACGCGGATAGCCATGATGAACCCCATTCCTCTTGCTCCAGCATGCTTGACCTTCCATCGCGCGCGTTCCGTCTCGCCACAAGACCATCCAAGGAACGTAGGGAGCAACATGGATAGCAGCAGCGAATTTTCCGGTAGGTTAGCGGAGAAGACTATTATGGTGAATTGAGTGAGGGTAAGCGTCCAGTGAGGCCCGTAGTGAGTATTTCGATCATTCGTGCATGCACGGCTCCAGTGTTGCAGGAAAAGCTGATGTCGACATATATTGCTGCAGCTAGACAGCGTGCGTCCAATCCCGGTGCCTTGCTTCCAGTGTTGTCGAAGTAGAGCCACTCATGCTTATGTCGTTCGACCAAGATCATTCAAAGGGGCCAGGTGGGTACCAGCATCTTTCCTTTCCACCCGAACTCCAAGAAGGAGACCTCCTTGACATCTTAATCTCCGACACATAAGGCCAAGCCCGAAAGAAAGATGGAGTGGGTCACAGCTCCTGCAATCAGTCCCACCATGGAACCTAGAATTTAGGAAGATTACCTAAAAGACTGTCGAGTACTAGCCTCAAGACAGTCTATGCTCGAAAAGATACACAGAATGATGCATAGCGTCAGATACAGTATTTCGGATGACCCGCTCCCTTGAGAACTTTTAGATTTCGTAAAACACGCATGAACGTAATCGATTAAAGGTAGCCAATGCTCTCATGATTTTTCTACCCTGCCATATTGACTCAAATGCCCTGGCGACAGCGATGCCCTTGCCGGCTCCCTTAGCCCTGCGAAGCCCAGCTTTTCGTCTTGCCACTGTTCTTCGTTCGTAGGGTCCTCCCCTCGATCCGTAGGCGCTCTCTGTCCCATCGGAACGCCGAAGCTCAGGAAAGGCCTCGTTCTTCCAGCGATATTTGAACTTGGAGGCTCGTATGCAGGCGCAGGCTCAGTTGGCCCAGCAGTGCTGTAATCACGGCCTCTAGGCTGCTCTTCCATGGGTATATCACCGGCGTATGACGGTCCACCAACAGCGCGACCCTTCTCGCGCCTGAACCCTAAATATAGAGCACGCATGACGCCGAGGAGCAGGTTGATGACCCAGATGAGCAGGACCGAGGTTGAAATGAGTGCTTCGGTCCTGATGCCGTTGGCAAGATGATTCGTCACCTTCAGAACAGCGCCTTCGATATCGTTGGTGGTCTGGCTGCCAGGGGACGCTAGGAAGCTCTCGCTCGCATTTGATGAGCTTGGGTCAGCAGTGCTGGCTGCGGCGCCAAGAGAGAACGTATTGTTTGGAATTGTGGGAAAATTCACATTTGCGTTGTCAGAAACCCAGTCGAGACCTTTTTGGACACCGGCGACTTTTAGACCAACCAGACACTCGAAAATGCCTGTGACCGGGCCATAGAGTACTGTCCCACCAAAGGTTTTGTTAAGAACGCCAATGGTATCGCTGACGAACATGTTGAGAGTGTTATTGATGGCGCCAGTGGTGACATTGACCCAGCCAAAGACCTTGTGATTGATGTCGTTGTTTACGCCCATGATCGCATCGTTGGTGCCATTGGCCCAAGCTTCAGAAGCGTTTTCGAGCTTGTCAACAACCAAGCCAGCAAATTGACCAACTTCGTTGGCGAGAGCAGGAACTTCTCTCATCACAGCTTTGAGTAGAGCATATTGGCAAAGGCAGGAAAGGAGACCGGTGATACCGAGCGCGAGCACAAGGAGTGCCGGAGGGGATGTGGCATAGGCAATAACCCAGCGAGTGAGAATCTGTTTCTTTGTGGACCCGAAGGGCGTCGCGGCTTTGATACCAGCAGAGGCCGTGTACGGTCGAGACGCAATGTACATCACATCCAGGGGGTCGATAGACTTGTCAGCTACAAGCTCGGATCGCTTCTTCATGGTGTTCCATCTTCGAATTTCCTGGTAAGCCATGGGAACGCAGACCAGAATGGCAAGAATTATCAAGACCGCAATGAAGATCCGGCGAACAAGATTCACAATATCCACCAAGTCGCCAAAGAAATCGGAAATGCCATTGTTGCCCGAACAGAACGTCAGCTGTTCTTTCTGCGGCACTGGAAGTAGGGAACGATCGAAAGTGAAATGCAGACTTCCATTAAGAACGGTCTTGAGATCATCGAACGGTAAGCGAATGAGGTTGTCAGTGAAATTCTGCACATCCTGGAAAGTGGGTATGGAATTGTTCAGCTTGGTCAAGCCCTCATCCAGAGTGGCAGGAAGTTGAAGGTTGCTGAGCTTGTCCAAGGACCCGGTAACGTTGAGTGTTGGCGGTGTAGAGATACCGAGCTTTGCAAGACTGCCGCTGACCCCATGTGTAAACTTATTCAGGTCATTTTGGAAGCTGCCAATGTCTGACGATAAATCATTTCCAATGTCCTTGAGGGTTGAGTTGAGAAAGTTGCTAACATCTTCGGCAACTTGCAACGCCACGTGCAGACTTCCAGCGACGACAAGAGTGATTAGACACATATAGGTCGAAGTCATCATGTTGATGACGAATACAACTATTTCTTCAATGCCGGTGACAGTAAGGAGGAGCATGGACATCAGGCCGTCAACGGCCTTCTCGATGCCAGTACCAGCCAAATCATTAACACCCGCGGCTAGGTAGTGAGGCATGGAGGCCATGGCACTGCCTATAGATTCGACTCCAGTGCATGCCGACATCGCTTCAGTCTTGGCCGACCCGAGATCGTTGTGCAGACCTGCGATGGCGATGAGCAGCCTAACGAGTACGAGAAGTAAAAGAATGGTCCATCTGTTGATCCATACTTGGGATAATCGAGCACGGAGTCCGAGGTAGGGGGTGATGTTGGATACTGTGTGTGGTGTACTTCGTTGTGTATCTTGAGCGGCGTAATGATCTTGCATGCCATGATCGCCAGCGGAAAGAGATGGAGGCACAGCGGGAAAATCGGAAGGGTGCTGATTTCCTGTGAAAGACATGCTGGTGATGATGTCGGATAGATTTTCTGGGGTCCGTCCAGCGGAAGAAATGAGTGTAGGTCTAAGATATGTATGGCTACAGCGCAGCTGGTATTACGGAAACGAATGTATGATGAAGTTGTGAGTGGAATGGAAAAGAAAAAGAAAGGCAAAGAACAATTAAGAAATGATCAATTCATGCGGTCTATAGAGGAGGTCGAATAGTGAAAAGAACAAAAAAGGCGGACAAAGGAAGTGTTTTGAACAATGAATCGAGTGGACAATCGCGATGAGTGACAATAATAGCAACACTCGCAATGAAGTAAAGAGGCCAAGATCCACCAGGAAGCCATAGAGATTCAAGTGAATGTGAAACTCGCAAATCAAATGTTTCAGGAAGTCATTGTGAATCTGTTCTCTGATGTTATTGTCTTGCCCCACGGTATTGGCTGAGAGCGACTCGTGGTAAGCGCCGAAACGAATACCCCAAACAATAGTCTCCAGTCGCCCAAGTATTTCTGTCAAAGACTCAGAATGCTGGCGCAAACATGTTTGACAATAGACAAAGTCCATCAAGTGACGCATAGTCTCCCTGCCCAGCTCTCTGCCTTTGACCCTGCGATTCCTCCTTGGCCGCTGCGAACTTGACGGAAGACGGGATCCCGCTGCAGGCGTTATTGAAGGGGTTAGAGTACAGGACCCTATCATCCTTGAAGCATTCTCCATATTCATGTACCTAGGTAAACGCAACTGCCTGGCTGATCACAAGGGGACAACACAACATGTCTGAGTGAAACGGTGATACTCAGCCTCGCCAAAGGATGGAGGATGGTAGGCTTCTTCTCCTTACCTATGGGTGGCGCCACGTTGCGATCCCATTCTCATTGGGTATTTTAAGGTTATAAGCTTACCTTATGCAGAGCTAGGCGCTACGCTAGTAGAAGATCATGGATGGCGTTCCTCCTACTCGCTGATCTGGTAAAGTGGTACTACTTCATAGTACCTCCGTAAAGGCCCATGATTAAATTATGAAGTTGAATTTTTTAAGTCAAATCAATTTTAGCCTAGCCCTAAGTCAAATCGAACTCTGATCGCTTGCTTGCGTTTTTGACCTATATACAGGCACATATGTGCGGAGAGAGGCGCGCTAAGGCCTAATTAGGAAGGTGTATCGAGTGTGAAGGATTGATCCGTAATAATTGCCCACAAAAACAGAGAAAGGTATCGAAATACCGGAAAGAAATGGAGATAACATGCCATTAGTGGTGTGAATCCCACATTATCTCTTGCCGCAGTGAATCTTTCGAATAATGAAATAGCTGTCGGCAAGACATCGACGGTTTCATTCGTCCAAATATGTATCTCCGATATTCCTCCTGCAGAGGCCCAATTGGCTGTGATCGTCGCAGTAGATCCTCCTCTTTGACGTTATTGCAGTGATATACCATATCAATGCAGTGGGGATGACAGGCCAAGTTGAGTGGTGTTCTCCGCTTGCTGAGTGATGATTTGATGTGGAACCGTGGAGAGCATATGACGTGGGATCTTGGGAGCTGAGCCGTGTTCTTGACGATGGTGGCCTTTTGCCGCTTGTTTCTCCATGTTCTCCATAGTGTTCTCCGCATGTTCCCGCATTTGCCTATTGTAGTTCCTCCTCTTCTCCTTATGCAGTGGGGATGATAGGCTAGTTGCAGTGGTGTTCTCCGCTTGCTGAGTAATGATTTGATGTGGAACCGTGGAGGCATATGACGTGGGATCTTGGAGCTGAGCCGTGTTTTTGACGATGGTGGCCTTTTGCCGCTTGGTTTCTCCACTTTCTCCTAGTTTCTCCGCAGTGTTCTCCGCATTTGCCTATTGTAGTTCCTCCTCTTACTCCTTAATGCAGTGGGGATGATAGGTAGTTGAGTGGTGTTCTCGCTTGCTGAGTATGATTTGATGTGGAACCGTGGAGAGCATATGACGTGGGATCTTGGAGAGCTGAGCCGTGTTTTTGACGATGGTGGCCTTGTTGCCGCTTGGTTTCTCCGCAGTGTTCTCCATTTGCCTGTTGTAGTTCCTTCTCTTGCTCCTCCTCTTGTAGAGTATCAGACTGAGTGGCTAGCTGGTGGCTGACTGAGTGGTGCTGTATGACGTGGGATCTTGAGCTGAGCCGTTTCTTGACGATGGTGGCCTTGTTGCCGCTTGTTTCTCCGCATGTTCTCCGCATTTGCCTGTTGTAGTTCCTCTCTTGTCCTCCTCTTGTAGAGTATCAGACTGAGTGGCTAGCTGGTGGCTGCTGAGTGGATGACTGATATGACGTGGGATCTTGAAGCTGAGCCGTTTCTTGACGATGGTGGCCTTGTTGCCGCTTGTTTCTCCGCTGTTCCCGCATTTGCCTTTGTAGTTCCTTCTCTTGCTCCTCCTCTCTAGCAGGTAGCTGTTGGGCCCCGTTGCGGCCTCGATTGCCAGCAGTAGCGGATTCGCTGAGGGGTGGCCTGGGGGCGTTAGTAGGGGCTCTAAGAGGCGGGCAAAAGGGGTATACGTGCCTGAAGCGTTCAGTAACGTTTCCGCGAGGGGTACCGAGGATAAATATGTTCATATTGGTAAATTGGTAGAATGGTGGAGAATAATGGTTACACAAACAGGTGGAAGGATTATCCAGTCCCGGACGCGTTTCGTGTGACTATGTTTAAATGCTACTTCGCTCCACCAATAGTAAGCCAAAATTCATAATTTTTACAGCGTTAGAAGCGCAAGCGAGCTCTACAATTTGAGGAATTATGAGTAACTGTATGTATCGAAGCTGGTACTTCAAGTGTAAACTTCTACACACAAATTTTTGATGAGGGAGCTCGGGAGGGCTAGCGGGCTGACTCAGCCGGTCTAACTAAAGAGCGTAGTGACCCTGAATTGATGATTGGCTGCACTAAATTCAGGTTTTCAGCTCAGCCCTACCTTATTCTTTATATATATGTGCTGTCCAGTGAGTTTTTGATAGCGAGGACACCAATAATCCTTCCACTTGCCGAATATCGGTTAATCTATTTTCCTCGCTCTATAATAACCCTTCATGAAGAAGTGTATGACTTCGTCAAGTCAGACGTCTGGCCTCACGAAGCCGAAAAAGTTGGCGAATGACAGAGAAAATAAATCCTGATCCTGGACTTGACTTGCTGAGGTGGGGCTATGCTACTCGTACCAGAGCGATTCTGATACTCACTGAGCTTCTGTACCAGCATAGATATCTTGAGATGAGCGAACAGTACCACATGGTTCTGACTCGCCGCTAGACAATTAGTTCCTCATCAGTAACAGATTTCTTCTGTCAGTTTGGTCTGCCGCAAGCCAAAAACAACATGAACAGGACAAGCTGGTCCTTGAGGCAGAAGGGTCAGATCCAATTAGGCGATGAGAAGCAACCCGATGGTCCATCACGTATTATACCAGTCAAAAAGGAACATCTTGAAGATGGCATACTCCAGCTTTTGGCTTCAGCCGCAGACATGCAGCAAAGGCGAGATTTAGATTCAGCGCTCCAACTCTATGAAGCTGCTATGGAAAAAGTCAAATCTCATGGGCTCAATCGCAAACGTCTCTTTACTGGGACAAATAAAAAGCCTCCACCCTTGAACAGCCGGACTCCCTTGGAGTGGTCCCTGCATGTAGGGGACATGCCGTCTGCCATCTGCCTGCTTGGAGGCCCCAGTACTGCCCTCGCAGAGTTGGGTACGTCGGGAAGTCTCGATCAGGTTCGCCAAATCTTAGATGCTGGTGCAAGCATCGAGCAACGCATCGGATCATTTGGACAGACATTTATGCTGCAGGAAGCTTCCAAAGGAAACCTCAACGGTGTCAACTTAGCTCTTGAACGGGGGGCAAGTGTCCACTGTATGGATGACAACGGCGATACTCCACTGGCGTTAGCTCTGCGATGTCAGCATCCTCAGGCCAACTTGGTTGTTGCAGCCCTTTTAGCAGCCGGTGCCGATGTCAATGCCATCGACGGCAAAGGCCAACCTCTCTTTAAGGTGACTGTTGCTCATGGCCAGCTTGAGAACGTAGCGCAAATTATGAGCGCGCTGAATCCCGTCACTGTGGAGCATAGTCAAATCATGCGGAATTGGGCTGCGAGTCTTCCAGTCCATGGCGATAAATGGAGTACTCGCGACTGCTCAGTGTTGCGCTTCTTGTTAGGCCATGGCCTCGATCCCAACTTGCGTCTTGGACCAAACAAGACATCTACTATGCTCGACGTTGCTGTTCAACGACAGGCAGCTGGCAGCGAACGCCTAGCGGCTCAACTCTTGAAAGCTGGCGCGAAGCCAAATATAGAGGCAGCCTTGCATGGTAGCACTCCGAAGATGCTCGAACTCATTCTGCAGAATGTTGGCTCTTTGAGAGAAACAAGCCAGCAGCCGATCATCGCATGGATAGCAAGTTTACATGCTTACCCTCAGCAGTGGACTAAGCGTGATGGCGAAGTCCTCAACTTACTATTAGACTTTGGCTTAGATCCCAACATTCGTCGTCCTGCATTTCCGCATCCTCCACTCGTCGTCTGCGCCGCTAGCTATGGCGACATTGACTTTCTACAACGACTGATCAAAAACGGCGCTGATCTCGGCGCCACCGATGACAACTCGGACACCGCGATTATCGTTGCAGCAAAACAGAAAAACAAGCACATCTACGACGCCTTGAAAGCAGCTGGGGTCAGCGACAGATACTTTTTATTCGGACTTGGAAGTGTGTGGACGTACTATGCTAGCTCTTAATGCAAGATCCAGAGCTTGATGGCAATATTTAGGTCAAGTACTTACACAGTGGAAGAATCTTGTCTTGATGCCTGAGAAACCCCTCGGGCGAACTCCCCAGCGACCCTCCATCGTGAATTCCTAATAGGAGCAACCAACTAAACAACCTCAAATACCCGCCGACGAAAACCTCGGAACAGGTCTTTTTCTCTACGATAATGCTCACATTCACTATCTTATGGTGCAGTTTCAAAAGCACGACCAGGTAAAGGGACTTCTTTACCTCCGAACCAGCAGTTTGAAACCAAGGCGGATTGAACATGGCCACAACATACTATGAAAAGACTACAAATTGTTTAGCCAACAACGAGACTCAATTGAAGGAATTCATTCAGGCGAAGGTCAGTGATTCTTGTGCTGTAAATGGCAACTGGCTCAATGCGTCGATTCGGCATGGGCATGGCATCTCCGGCGCATGGAAGTTGACATCAGAGTACATCTCACTTTTAGTTCTAGACAAAGAATGGGAGTACCATAAACTCACCAATCTGAAAGCCGACGTCTACCCCCAAGTGGTATAGTTCAAGCCGCCCACTTGGGAAAGCACTTTCTCCAGCGTCCGGGCAAGAGACGAACGTAACGTCGTGCTCTGGGACCTGCACGACAATAAAACTGTCCCTGCTAAAGATATTTACGAAGCGCTGGTGCCGGCCGGGTGCGCAATCGAGTTGTTGCAGGTTGACGTCAAATGTCTGGGCCCAAAGACAGCTCCGATTCATGAAGGCGAGCCAACAGCTGGACCCAGCAACACCGACCCGCGCTCTGGAGACTCAGGGGAAGACACACCAAGGCAACTCCGTGTCGTGGAAAGAGACTCAGGGGAAGATACACCAAGACAGCCCAGTGTTGTGGAAGGAGAACTGAAGTTGGAGCAGCCGACGAAGGGGACCCGCCCGTTCGTGCCGACTCATGTAGAGAGTGGCGGCGGTGATATGGAGCAGATCTGCTGATGTGGTGGACATCCAAAACATAGCGGCATGCCTCTAGCGATGGTGAGAGTTTCTGCTCCTCTGTCATACCTGTGACTTAGCATGAACATTGAGCACAGAGATGAGTCCACTCATATCGGTTTGCAGGATACTGCTCATATCGAAGGCTTCGGTCTTCTCGAAAATAGTGCAGAGCCTGGCTTATGCTCTCCTTCTCGCTTCGAGAAAAGCATTTGCCTCCTTCAGTCGCTGATTCTCTTCAGCAGATGGGGTCGGTTTTTCCTTCTCGTTGCGGTCATGTCCTGTTCTTATTTGGCACCACATATCCATATAATTGAGAGGCGAGACGAGATTTTCCTTGTTGCCTCGGACAGCAAATACTCACGCTATAAGTAAGTAGTCATTAAAATCACACCCAATAGACAAGGATCGGAGTCTTAGTGTAATAAAATAACTACTCTCTTCCAGTTGCAATCACTCCAAGTATTCCCAACTAATTTCTTTCGAAGGGTAGGATTGACCTGAAAGTTACTCTTTCCTGGATATGACCTATGGTTTTGCTCCCAACAATGATCTCGGAGCCCTGGGTTGGTCCAGATGGTACTCTTTCCTGGATATGATCCCTCGAATAGCTCCTAACTAGATTGATCTCGTAGCCCTTGATTTGATCAAAGAAATGCTCTCACAAAAGTGGAATCTTTTTGCATCTCTCGAGTTAACCCTGCCATCTCGGCGTCTTCAGACATCCCCACTTCCTTTCTTCTCCTCCCTCTTCCACCGCTCCATGCTGACCTCATACGCCCCGCTCCCTTTCCACGCACTCAAAACCAACCCCACGATATCCTTCACTCCCTTCCCATGCTTCACAACCGCGAAAATCGTCGGTCCCCCATCCCTCATCCTCCCAGCATCCCTCTCCATAACCTTCATATCCGCCCCCACCGCCTCCGCCAAATCAACCTTGTTCACAACCAACAGGTCACTCCCCGTGATCCCCGGCCCCCCCTTCCTCGGCACCTTATCCCCCCCCGCCACGTCAATGACATAGATGATGAAATCCGCCAACTCCCGGCTGTAATTCGCCGCCAGATTGTCGCCCCCGCTCTCAATCAGCAGCAGATCCGTGGCGAACCGGCCGTGCAGGGCCTGCAGCGCGTGCAGGTTCGCGCTGATGTCTTCGCGCACGGCGGCGTGGGGGCAGCCGCCGGTCTCGATGGCCTGGATGCGCGCGGCCGGGAGGGCGGCGTGCCGGGTGAGGAACTCGGCGTCCTCGCGCGTGAAGATGTCGTTGGTGACGGCGGCGATGCTGTAGGGGTCGCGCAGGGCGAGGCAGAGGGCGAGCATGAGCGCGGTTTTGCCGGATCCGACGGGGCTTTTGCGGGGGAGGGCGTCCATGTCAGCAGGCGTGGATTTTTTCTCTCCAACTCGTGCTCCGTGCGATGGTGGCTGCAGGGGAGGATGTCTGTGTGGGTGAAGGCGTGGCGTGAGAGCTTACCCACCGATTCCCACCGTGAAGGCTCGCTCGCTCCAATCTCGCCCGGATATTATCGGCATCGCTCGCTGTGTGTAGGAGCCGGGGCCGTCGAGTATCTCGTGTGAGTGGCCGTGTTCGGCGGCGTTGAATTCGTGGGAGTGAGAGTGGGGATGGGGAGGTAGGCCATCATGGCTATGGGTCTCTTCTGCTGTAGCCATCGTGTTGGCTGTCAGTCGCGATGGCGAGGCCTGTCGTGATCGATAATGGGGGCGGAGGGATGTTGAAGCGGGGCTTTTGGGCAGAGGCCGGAGATAGGAGATAAAAAGACACGGATTTGCAGAGCAGGATCTTGCCCATGGTATTACGATTGAATCTGCCTCTCAAGATGACTTGTCCAAGCTATACCTAACCCAACGTACAATGATGTCCAATAGAGAAGAATAAACCCTTTCAAGCTGACCACATACTGCGCTTCTCTCCGTGATCCTCTTGATCCGCACAGATATTGTCCATTTCGCCTCCCCACCCAGTCCAACCTGGACCTAATTCATAACATTCCTCATCAGGTACCATAGCTCTGAAGCCATGCCCAGCAGCCCTGAAGCGCCAATTGTTCTGCGTTGGATGTTGCTGCCGCCATGCCCTCAATATCCAGAATCTCTCTTCATAGTCTTCAACCGTTGTTTCGATGCATTTCCGACGCCGGACTGGACCATAATCGTCCGCTACTAGGGCATACCCGCATGTTGACAAGTGATCATATCGAGGGAGAATTTTGCCGGACCATTCACACTGGCAAGGAGCCTCGCCGTTGTGCCATCTTGTATTGACTTTGTAATCGCTGAACTCTGCCTCGAATTGTAACTTCAGGGATCGCTCGGTACGTTTGGACCATTCGCCTCGAGATCGCAAAAGTTCACGCAACAGGCGGTAAAGATAACCCAAGACGTAGTGGTTCCAGCTGTCGAGAAACGCGACGTTGAGTAGGCGCTCAACGCGTCGGTCCATTTCTGGCCACTTTGGATCTTGCTTTGGCCAGCACAAGGTCTCGGAGCGATTCGAAGCTGAGTCGAATAGCGTATAATGACCGTAGGTAAGCGCGCAATAGAGCATTTGACGATGCAGAGCGGCATTTTTCGATCCATGCCTCTGTTTGATCGCTGGATACATTCGGGCAAATTTGCTCGGCGCGGTAGTATGGTCAATCACGCGTTGTAGGAGTCCTTCCCATGTGCCACACTCCTCCCAATGTCCTTCGATGTCTTCCAATTGATGCTGTAAGGAACAATAGCGCACAATGCTCTTGGGCCCACAGCCCAGACAGACGACAGCGGAATGGTGGTAGTCCGAAATCGTGGCATCGCAGTCGGGCTTGCGGCATTCTAGGAGATCTCTGTCATGGCGCCAGATCTCGTAGCCAGCTGCTTCGCTGGCCTGATATTCGACCAATTTCTCCCGGACAAGAAAATCGGGGTGAGACTTGTGGGATCGGACATCATCCCAACACTGCTCGTGAGGCACAATGTGGACAGCACTTCCATCATTTTCGATTATTGGCTCATCATTCTCCGTTCTCTCGTGGGAGATGACGACTGAAGCTAGGACAGAATGACCAAACTTCTCCATTCGCAACAAGGGTTGAGTACAGATATATGTCTTTGGCCTTCTCCAGAGCCATGTTCCTGCTTCTTCCAAAGTTTCGTCAACCTTTGTATCAATGGCATAAGCCCACAATAGGCCTTGGACTCCGCTTCCATTGTTGTCTATCGATTTTGTTGTTAGAGAGAAGGGTATCGGCTTGTCTGCGGTAGTGATCAGATCCTCACAACAAACAATGTCGCCTGGGGAAAATATGACGTCTATTGCGATCTGTTCTAGATTTAGGACTTCCTGTGCTGTATGAGCTCTGGGTTCCTTGTGTTCTTTCGAAGCGGACTCTGGAGAGGTACGGTCCTTCTGTGACAATTCCTTGGCGATCAAAATTTGCTCTGGTGTGGTTTCTCCGTTATCTAGATTGAGCGACCGAGTCGCTGGCACTTGGCTTAGGTCACACTCTTCACGTCGAGGCCTTCTCCGCTCGGAAGAATCTTCAGTAGTAATCGATTTCTTTGCGGATTTCTTGCGGGGAGGTCGCTGCGTTGGGTAGGCGCTCACAGTGCAAATGGCTTCATGCCTGGTTCGCTTGTTACGAATTTGCTTCCCGCCTTGATTGTTCTTGGATGAGGACGCTTTCCCTCCCTTCGAGGACGTTATCGCAGCAGCAGGCTCTGCGGGCAGGGTTTTCTTCAGAGCCGACGTATCTTCCGGTACGCTGTTCTCTCCAAGAGTAGAATGTTCGATGAACATCACCCCATCAATACCATTCTCCGGGTTGGATACCACCCGCTTGTGCTTCAATACTGACCCAAGACCTTGGATTTCATCTGCATATACAAGTGGCTTTGGCCGCTGCGGGGCAGTTGGAAAGGGTCTTTCTGTGAGCTGAAAGGCCTTATTATCTGTCACCGGAGGCTCCTTTGACATTACAACGTCCTCAATGCGGGGCTTACGTGACGTCAAGTAGACAAGAAGGCCGGCAAGGATCTTGCCAGCGTTGACCATTTTAGCCGTAGCTTCAGCAGTCTTGATGTCAATCTCAGTCAGGCTGATATTTTGGTCTTTGATGAGACTGGCATGCTGTATGGTTTCGGATGTTCGCTTGTCTTCGGCAGTACGATTTGACCGGTTGTCGCTCTGTATCTGGGGCCGTGTGAAGGGCAAGTGTGGTAGGTGGCTTCCCTGACATGTTGTAAGGATGACATCCAAGCTGGCGATCAATCAGGCTTCATCATCATAGACTTACAGGTGGCTTGCTGAAGAAAATCTTTGCAAGTGGAACAAGGGTCTTTGCGTACTGGTCCTGTTTCCGTCAGATCAGTCAAAAGAGCGTAAGGTTACGTACTGACCGGATCTTTAACTTTGATATTCCTGACAGATGCCAAGTGTTGACAAGTGTTGTTTGACGCGTTTATCTCAAACTCAATGTGGAAGGGGATCGCGCTTGGCTTCCAGTGTACAACACAATCTGTATCCGCGTAAAGCCCCTTCTTGTTCGCCTGGCGTCGAAAAGCACTGGCCACAGCATACTTTATCAAAGCTGGCCTCGTGTGCGCTATTGCGTTGCGTGCTGGGGCGTTGAGTGGTTGGATGACACCCTTGTCTCCATGGAAAGAATATACGGGTAATCTAGACAACGGGTTGCCTTCGCCTTGACTCTGGCGAGCTCCGGCATTGTTTTGTTCGTTCTCAGCGATAATAAGTATTGTTGGTCCTATTACACTGTTGTGTCAGACGCAGGCAAGTTTTACTGCGAAAGACGTCAGTGGTAGTGAAACTTACTCCTGTGATCGTCTGCGCCATCCTCAGCGTCCATTACATTGCCCATTCCGCGCTAGATCTTTCATCTGTAGAAGCATATAGACTGAGCGAGTCGGCTGTAATGGTAATGAGATTAAAGCTGTGATGGCGTTGACACAACAATCGGGTTGTCGCTGGGAGACGTGCGCTACTCCGGCAGGTTTCTGTTTACATTTCCCGGTTGACACCTGCCCGTCACTTTGGCTGACATCATAGCGTAGAAGTCTCATAGATTCCACAAGCTTCCATTTCCCAGGACGTTTGTCTGGTGCTGCAGGGACCCGGCAAGACACTCAATCACATACCAGAAGGTTTCCATGTTATGAACTATCACGGCTCTCTGAATCAATATCTCTTCTCTTGGACAGTTGAATCACCTGTTGAGTCTCACTCATCTTTGCTTTCAGCGAGTTCCGAGGGCCACGGTTGAGGCGATGTCTAGATTGATGTACACTGAATTCTAGAGCCATCCGCAGTAATGGGTAAGCTTGCTAAGAAATTCGTTTGACTTGGTCCTCATGAGTGCTTTTAAGGTTTCATCAAAGACAGAGGCGTCATGCGAGCTCAGTACAGCGCCAAGCATCTGGTACCTCAGAACATTGGCCAGATTATCCCGAATAAAATCAATTGATTGGGTCAGGGATCCAGCAAGCAAGGCAAGGGTGGAGGGTACTACAGTAGAAGATAGCATGCAATAAGCCTTAAGTTCTGTTCTGTTCAGCGGTCAATTGCCCGCCAACGCTAGGCGGCTACCGTTTGAGGTGGAGTCTTTGGTATGCAGCTCAAGGCTGATGTAAGCTCACTACATTGCATGAAGTGCGTCCTCAATGGGTCCCCACCCACATGCTACCCCTCGTGCTCTCCTGCATCGATTGTAAAGTATCAAGTTTCTACCAGCTCGTGCGTGCTACTCAAGTCCAACGTGTTTGTGATGCAGCGAGCCATTGAACAAGGATTCATATTGAAGCCACCCAAAGGCCATTGTTAAGCATGTCTCCTACTCATGGCACCAGTGCTGCCCACCGAGTCAAATCGAGCATGGTGCAGAATGCGCTCACCCTCCTCATTGCTGGTATGTGACATTTTCGGGGCTTCTGTTTCCACGTGTTCACATTTTCTCAGGCCATGAAACAACTTCCGGCATGTCCAGCTTTCTGTTTATCATGCTTCTGAAGAAGCCCCGTGCCCTCAAAGCGGCTCAGAACGAAGTCGACAAAGTCATCGGTACCGGTCCCATAACCATAGATCACCTGAACAAGCCCCCTTACATCGCCGCGTGCATGCGAGAGACGCTCCAGCTCTGGCCCACAGCCCTGGAATCCGCCTCGAGCCAGTGAGCAGCAAAGATGAGGACTTTCCCATGTATATTGGCCAAAATCGGTACAAGATTCGGGAGGGGGACGCCTTGAACACCAATCTCGTCAAGAATCATCGAGATCCAGGGGTCTATGTGGTGAATGCGGAAAGTGTTAAGCCAGAAAGGATGTTGGATGAGGCGTTTCAGAAGCTGCCGCCGAGATCGTAGAAGGTTCGCTACCCTAACAATGAGACGTTCTTTTGCTAGTCAACTTGCTCTGCTAACAATTTCGGCCCTTTGGCAATGGTATGCGTGTCCTGCATCGGAAGGGCTTTTGCCTAGCAGGAAGGTCAAATTGTTATTGCGATGATACTGCAGAACTTTGACCTTCGAGACTCTGGCCCTACGTATGTCAAACCGATTGGCTTCTCGTTCCACGCGACTCTGCGTGATCGTCTTTACCCGGTTGAACTGGCAGGACGTCTTTGGGGTTATAAAGAGCCACATAAGCATGATGTGAAAGATAAGAAGGTCAATGGAGTAAAATTGGCATTTAAGCCTCGATATTCACGAACTCCCGTACTGAAAACCTTCGCTAGGATTCCGAGACTGAGAAAAATCCACTGCAGATATTGTACGGCTCGGATGCCGGAACGTTTGAGTCACTGGCGCAAAGTCTAGCAAGCACTGCGGCCGGCACCGCCTATGCTCCATAAGTCATTTGTCTTGACGAAGCCACCGGAAAGGTCACGAAAGGCTATCATAACCCCGAGCTACGAAAGAGCGCCACCGGACAACGCAGTCCATTTTGTTGAATGGTTAGGAAGTCTTGAGGGAAACGAGCTCAAAGGAGTAAGGTATGCGGTCTTCGGGTGTGGAAACCATGATTGGTCTACACAAAGGCGCCACTCGAATTGCCGAGAAAGGCTTATCAGACGTTGCAGGTAACCACGTCTTCCGATGACTTCGATCGCTGGCGAGAAGATTCCCTCCGGCCCGGCATCGATATGGCATTCGACCACCAAAATGACATAACAGCGCAAAGCGACGGTCTGGATGTCGAGTTTCGTGACAGTTACCGAGTCAGCGACCTTCGTCAAGACGTCTCCGAGGCCATTGTCAAATCCACCAAGCCCCTCACCGGACCTGGGGTACCCGAGAAACGGCATTTAGAATTGCAACTACCAAGCAGCATGACCTACAACCAATGAACCCAAGCACACTCGTCATATCAATCATGGCGCGCTTTGGTCTGGCTTGGGACTCTAGCCTAGAAGTATGAGAAGGTCAACATGCCGCTCTAGCTCAAGGTCGTGCCCTTACGTCTTTAACCTGCTCTCATCGTACGTTGAATTCAACCAGCCCATTACGCAGAAAAAGCTTGCAATTCTGGCAACTTGCACCGCTGACGAAAGCACCCAGCGGACTATTCTATCCCTCACACTCGAAGAAATTAGCAACAAAAGGGTCAGCATTTTCGACCAGCTGGCTAAGCATCAGCAGCACCATCTGCCGTCCCCAACTTACCTTAACTTCCTCCGACCAAATAGTGCATCTATTCATCGCCACTGCAGTCCCTCACACCTGCGCCCTAACATACAGCGTTCTCACCTCACCTTCACTCTCCAACCTTTCACACCGATACCTCGGCACCGCATCAACATACCTTTCTGAACTATCTCCAGTCGCCAAGTTCTACGTTACCGTGCGCCCAAGTCATCAGGCCTTCCATGCACCCCTCGATGTCGAAAAATCCCTCTCATCATGATCTGCGCAGGCACTGGCCTCGCCCCCGTCTGCGCCTTTGCTCAACAGTATGTGGAACACATCTCCGCTGACCGCACCGTTGCTCCAACGCTGTTATTCATCGGCTGTCGCCACTTGGAAAAAGACGCTATTTCCCTGGACCAGTTCAATGAATGGAAAGAGAAACGTGCGGTGCAGGTCAAAAGGGCAGCTACTAGATCGCCGGAGGAGAGCGAGGGCTGCAAGTATGTGCAGCACTTGCTGTGGGAGGAGCGAGAGAGTGTCAGGGGGCTGTGGAGTAAAGGGGCGGGAACATATGTTTGTGGAAATGGAAGGATGGCGGAAGAAGTGGATTGGGTGTTGGTGAAAATTTGGGTGGAGAAGACGAGGAAGAGCGAGGAGGACGCGAGGGAATGATTGAGAGGGATTAGGAATGAGAGGTTTGCTAGTGATGGTTTTGTTCAGGGTGTGGGTGTTGATTGTGCTCTTACATATCAGGATGATGACTTAGGAGTCAAGATTGCAAGTGAGAGGCAGGAACGTGTAGAACATACGGGAAAACAGCACCTTATCATTCGCTAGCTAGTGATCTTTGCGGGAAAACCAACTTCAAGTGGAGCATTGTAGGCAGGGATGCTGGGAGCAGGGCAGATTCTGTGGTCACCATCCTGAAACATCCCATCATATGTTGTAGACTTTGCCAATTCGGACAGTCGCTTTGATTGAACGCATAAAGAGAGATGAATTGGATGGAAAATACGTAGTTTGAGAGTGGCAGTGTTCAAAGTTAACGACTGTGTGAGTCATTTTAATTTTGCTTGATGAGAAATGTACTGCAGGCCAACATTTGAGCGCAAGGAGGATAAAGATGAGATGAAAGCAGACACGAAGTTCAAGGGTGACGGCGATGATCAAAACTTCCAGTGTTGTTGAAGATGGGCATCACTCCTCAGACGCTAACGGCGACAGGCGCGTTCCGATACCCGCGTCGCGTCTTAACGTACTTGCCATTCTTGCAATAGCCACTATCATCTGCTACCTCAGTTAAACATTCGCGATACTGAAGCTAGTGGGTATACACGCTTTTCCTAGTATTTTACCTCAGCCCTTACTTCAGACGCGATACCACTATTCAGAAAGGATCCCTTTATACGCTAGCGTGCTTAACTCTTACTTAAATCTTATTAACGACTTAAAGCCGTAGCTGAGGATACCCGTTCCAGTATATCGATAGCGTATCGATAGAAGCGGAATCTTGCTATCTATGGTAACACCGTAATCCTCGTAATAGATATATTTATATATAAGAGCGATACCGTAGCCTCTTATTTATTATTTTAAACGCTTTTCTTAATTATTAGCGTTAAAAGCTATAACTATATTAAGACGAATTAGTATAGTTCTTAAAAGAGAAATAGAATATTAAGGTTTATAAGTTTATTATTTATAGGACTCTAAAATAGGCTAGAATTATATATAAGAAGAATTAAAGGATTGATTCTTAAAGTAATATACTTCGTATTATATAGTAAACGTTTATGAGTTAGATTAAGGCGAAGTAGTTAATCTTTATCGACGAGTTATTATTTAAGTTATAAACGATATAGCGATTTATAGCTTATACTTCTATCGATAATTCTACTTAATATTATAATAATATAAGACGAGGTAATACTTTTAGTATTCTATCTATATATACTACTACTAGCTATCTATTCTATATTAAAATTAAGAAGAGCTATTATAGTAAGAAAGATATTTTTAACTAGCTAATTAATCGATTACTACTTCTTTATAATAAGTATTTTAAGAAGCGTAGTATTATTATTCTAGATAACGTTAGCGTTTATATCGATTCTTATATTATTAAAACTATATAGATTAAAGACTATCTTATTAAGTATCTTCCTTTATACTCGCCTAACTATAATTCTATCGAATTAATATTTAGCGTTCTTAAGGCGTGGATATAACGTTATTTTAAGCCTTTCGATACGTCTTTTAAAACGACTTTAAAGAATTTCTAAAGTATATAATTAATATTAATAATTATAATAGATTTATAATAGAGTATTTTAAGTATAGTACTATAGACTATATATTTAACGATAAAATTAAGATATTTAAATAAGATTTAAAGTATTTAATTATAGAGATCGCGGAGTAATTACGATAAAATACTATATAATATTAATTAAATCCCTTACTTTATCTCTATCTTTATTTTAATTATTCTAGAGTATAAATATATTAATAAATTTCTCTTTATAAGGCCTTAAAGACTAATAGATCTTCTTTTAAATCTCGAAGAAGATTATATGATAGATCTTTACTTATTATATATTTATAGATATCGATAAACGCGTTAAATAGAGCTTTTTATATTATCTATATTCTATATCTACTATTTAATAAACGCCTAAATCTAATAGATCTAGAGCTTCCTCGCCGCTTTATTTATATTCTTCTTCTTTTACTACTAAAAGCGCTTAATAATATTCTCCTTCTTAGTGCGCGCACCGATAGAACTTAACTGTTACGAAGGCGGTATTTTTATTCGCGAAATCTCTATAATAGTAGAAGAAGAAGAAGGAGAAGAAGGAGGAGGAGAGGTATTAATTGACTGCTGCTGTGAATAGCTATTAAAATATTAAGGCGGCATAAAAGGATATATAGGCGGAGGAGGAGGCTAATAAGAAGAAAGCTAATAAGGGAAGGCTAATAGAATTACTATAAGTATAACGACTAACTTTCTTTACTAGCTATACTCGCTATAGACTTTATACTCTTTAATAAATCGAGCTCTATTTACTATTCTATTATAGCCTTTATTTACTTTATTAAAATTATCTTCTTCTTCTTCTAACTATTATTATTAACGCTAAAGTTTATATTTATAAAGATCTTATATATAAATAAAGAAGGCTAATATTAAGTAATCTAATCGTCTTAAATAGTAATAGTTTATCTCTCTCTTATTATAGCGTTTATCTTATAATACTTATTATTCTTATCGATTTAGTAGATACTCTTATATTTATAGCTCGTAGCCTAATATTTTTATTTAATAATTAATTACTCTAGATAATTATTAAGAGTCTTCTATCGATCGCGAATAATAGTATACTAATCTTTAAGATTACTAATTCTTATTTAACGATAAAAAGAAGATTATATAAGCCTATCTACGATCTAAATATCTCTTCTAAGATCGATGTAATTAATATAGATAAGCTCTATATCGAGAATATACTTAAGACGCTTCTATTACTCGACTATAGTAATAAATTTAACTCGCTATTTTTACTATTCGATAGATATAATATTTAAAATAAAGTTTTAATAAGTTCTCTTAAAGTAAGTAGATTTCGCTTATTCTTGAATCTTACTAAGATTACTAATATCGTATTATTCTATAGCTATATTAAGATCGATATTTAAGATATAAATATCGAAGCTTTCTTTAACGTATAGGTCTTTAATCTTATTAAATTACTTAATAGGCGTTTGCGATCTATTTTACACCCTCAGCACGGCCCTTATAGAGTACTTATAAAGTTTATTTCTTATATCCTTATCCCTCTTTATTATCGTAAGAATTTAAGACGAATAAGACTCTCTAAGCTTTATCTTATTTAGAAGCTCTTTAATTATTATTCTAGCACCTCTTTATATAACTACTTATTCTTTCTTCTCGCAATAAACGATAGTAGTATAAATCTCTTACTTATAGCGGACGGCAGTAGCCTATTCTTTAAGCTTCTTCTCACGTCGTAAAGTCTCTACCTCGGCCTTCAGACGAGTTATATACTCCTCCTACTCTTTATAATGTATAATCTCCTCCTTTTCACGACGTTTAATAGCCTCTTTCTACTTCTTTAAAACTACTTTATTAGCTATAGCTTTAATCTTTATCTAAATAACTCGGATTTTCTCTTATTTCTTCTTCTGCTAGGCTATAATAGTAATAGTATCGCTTTACTTATTCGCGAAAGAGACCCGCTTAAAGAAAGGGCGACGACGAGATCTAGAGGGTCTCTGATCATTAATGGCCGTCTTGGCCGTCTAACGAGAATTAACGATATTCCGAGGTATTGCAATACCACCGTAAAAATATGGAGTGGGCTGGTATAAGAGTGGCAAGTACGTTCTCTACAATTTTCTATGAATGGCGCTAACAAAAGTCGGGCGGGCTTCGCTTTGCCACTTTTTTTAATTTCAATTCATAATTGGCACTTGTTTGCGGCCGGCGATTTTGGTTTTCGTCCAATCGTCAGGTTCTCGGTCTACTCTCTAGAGGCATCTCACTTTTACTTACACGAATATTCTGAGCTCTACGCAAGTTTGGTAATTTTTACCTTTACATTCCATCATACTCCATTCATCTTGCCCCACACCAGTACTCAGTTCTTCAGCATGAAGCCCTGCAATCTGCATAGGTGACCGGCTCTGTTTTGATACTCTCATCTCTTCACAGCTTTCAGCGTCCTAGTCACTCGTAACTATGTCGGAACCGCCAAATATCTCACAAATCCTGGCGGCCTTAGGTGAGCTTTCTGGGCGCTTTGACATGCTACTACCCTTTAGGTCTGACAGCAAATATAACAGCAGCACAACGCCCTGGAGGAACTCCGACCCAATCGCAACCTCCGCCTCAGCATCCTCCGCTTCATCAAGCTCCTCCACAACAGCATCCTCCTCAAGCTTACCCTCCGCCGTACCCTCCAGCAGGTCCTCCACCAGGCGCTCCACCAGGAGCAACCCCATATGCGCTTCCGAAACCAAGCAATTCAGGCAGCATCGATATAAGCAATGTCAAACCTGTCCATTCAGGCTCGGTTAGTCTAGCAGATGCTGTCACCAGAGCGCGTAGTATCGCCGCAGAAAAAGGGGGTTCCCAAACTGGTCTGCGCGGTGGTGACAGTGAGTTTACAATCTCCTCCTCTCTTCAAGATGGATTTGATATGGCGTGCCCAGGAGGCTAACAGAGGCTTTTCTTTTCTAGCACCAAACCGTGACAACGATCCTCGATTAGCCGGACGCTACTATAGACCCTCGCGATCGCGTTCAAGATCTCCAGGCCGTATACCACGAGATGGCTTTCGAGACGGCCATAACCCGTACCGTGACGAGCGTCGCGATGAACCACGACGACAGATAGCTCTGCAATACGGACGTGAGAGATCATTTTCTCCGGGCTTCGGCGGCCCAACTCCGGCCTCTCGATTTAGTCCACCCCCAGGACGAAACTTCGGTGGACCTAGCCGCGCAGGTGATGAAGGTGTGGAGACAATTCCTATAGAATCGAATCTAGTCGGTCTTATTATTGGCCGTCAGGGAGAGAACTTGAGACGTGTGGAGGCAGATACTTCGACCAGAGTACAATTCATCACTGGCCCCGAGGAAAGCGGGCCAATGCGCCAATGTAAGATTACTGGCAGCCGTGCGGCGCGAGAAAATGCAAAGGTCGAGATATTCCGCATCATTGAAGAAAATGGCAATGGTCCTTCAGCAAGTGGCAGAGCACCTCCGCCCCCGGATCGCAACATGAACGTGGGAGGAAGCATGCCAAAGGTCGCAGGAGCGCAGCAGCCCGCGCTCCGGCCTGGAGAAGATACCTCGCAGATCATGGTACCCAATCGCACTGTCGGCCTAATCATAGGAAGGGGAGGAGAGACTATTCGCGATTTGCAAGAGCGAAGCACATGCCATGTCAATATCGTGGGAGAGGAAAAGAGCGTAAACGGTCTGCGCCCAGTGAATCTCATTGGTACGCCACAAGCAGCAGCTATGGCCAAGGAGCTCATAATGGAGATTGTAGAGAGTGATACAAAGAGTCTGGCTGCAAAAGGTGGGGATCCTCGTGACCGAGCTGGACCTGCATTTGGTGGAGGAGAAGGCGAGAAGATCAACGATAGAATCTCCGTGCCATCGGAGGCGGTTGGCATGATTATTGGCAAAGGTGCGTATCGTATACCTTACAGGACATCTGCGACCGCTAACCGTTTTCTGTAGGGGGCGAAACGATCAAGGACATGCAAAATACGACGGGCTGCAAGATTAACGTCTCCCCAGCCGCTGGACAAGACTTCGAACGCGAGATCGGGCTCGTGGGCTCGCGAGACTCCATCGAGCGAGCGAAGAACGCCATCATGGAGAAAGTCCACGCAGTGGTAAGCCTCTTCATCCTCCTTACCTTTCTATAACCCAGTCACTCCTCTGATTCTTTCCCACAGCAAGAGAAGAATGGCGGCCGCGGTCGACCCCCAGATTACCAAAACCAATACAACAACGACCCACACTTCTCCCAACCCCAGCAGCAGTATCAGCAGCCGTATGGTAACCAACAAAGCCCCCAGCAGCAACAACAAGCCGGCGGCCCTGGTGGAGGAGCGGATCCCTATGCAGCGTATGGCGGCTATGAGAACTATGTCGCTCTGTGGTATTCTAGCTATCAAGCCCAGAATCAAGGCCAGCAAAACCCCCAAGCTCAAGGTCCTCCAGGCTCGTGACGTGATGCGTGATATCGACATGCGTGACACGTACGAAATTCGAAACATGCGTGAACAATGAATGCTTGATGACTATGACGAAACGTGATACACCACCCGGCAGCATACGTTTACATACATTTATTCATTGACGTGAAAGCTCGAGGTTACGTTTTCACTGGATTTGGCCCTGGCATATCAAGACTCGAGACGGCGATGTGCCTCTCTTCTCAAAAGATGCGCGACCAACTTTTTCGGGGTCATCCGTGGCGCTGCTGAACCGTGGCAACGGGGGCGTGGTTACCGTTGCGCGAGGCTTTTCATGTTGACGAAACGCCATGTCTGCGAGCCGGGCCATCAGATAGAACTCTTCCTGATTATAGGAATTTGGCTGGGAAAATATGGCTTCTCTTGTGTAGCTATCACACCACTTCGGAGCCTTTCCTCGTACATAACCCACACCCATATAGAGATTTCATCCAAGAAGTGATTGCATATTAAACCTTTAGTCCATTCTTGTTGCGTATAGATACAGAATCAAGGCGAAGATATCCAATGAGGATTCTCGCCGTAGCATATCTATATCCAGGCGCTGCTACTAGCTGCTAGACGATCTCGCCCTGTCCACCCGAAAAAGATACCTCGCTCCTGTCATAACCCCATTACTCCGTTAAGCCAACCCAGAAGCAAGGCATGACTTCCTCTCCGCCACCTCTCATGAACGCCGTCGCTGAATCGTGAAGATAAGCCTCCCCTAGTACCCGTATCCTGCCTTGTCCCCATCGGTCTGCCCCAGTCTCGCTCTCTCTGCGTCATCCATTCTTCTGCCGTTTGCCTCTGACGTTCGGACTGGCTTTCACTTTCGCGCCTAGTTGCCCTCCACTTCCACCAACGCCGTTGACCTCCGTCACCTCTTCTCCCATCTCACCCTTGCCCTGCGCACCACTAGGTCGCCTCCTCTTTCCCGTAACATTGGGACTCGCAGTCGCACTCCCACCAGCGGGCGTACCGGCATTGCTCGGATTGGTACCCTGATGAGAGGCTTGATGAGCCATTCCGACACTGGTGGGACCTCCCATCGAGTTTTGGAGTGCGAGATTTTGCATGGAGGGGGTAGGATGGTTGGAAAGAGTGGCGGGAGAGGCGGTGGGATTCGTATTAATTTGGCCAGGAAGAGAGAGGTGAGCGGCTTGGGCGGGGGACAGGAAGTGAGCAGGTTGTTGCAACTGGGGATTCAAATTGTGTTGTTGCTGGCCTGGGTGGTGGAGTTGAGGGTTGAATTGCGCATGTTGATTTTGTTGTTGTAGTTGGTGTTGGTGCTGCTGCTGCTGCTGCTGCTGCTGCTGGTGTTGTTGTTGTTGTTGTTGTTGTTGTTGCAGCAGCTGCTGCTGCTGGTGTTGTTGTTGGTGTTGTTGGTGTTGTTGGGCGGAGATGTTTGTGCAGTATTGGGCAAGGGCGTCAGAGGCGGAGAGGTGGTCGTGGTGTTGAGCGAAGGAGAAGAGGTTGGCCATGATTGAAAGGGTTTCTGCCAACTGATAGGGTGGTTTGGTGAGTCTAGAGCGCGATAGTAGGAGCTCTGGCAGTCACTTACTTCGAGATATGTTTGGGCACCTTTAGTCATGCCGTATTCTGTCACCATTGACGATGGTACTGGCCTTGGCGCTGGCTGGTCTTGAGCGTGCTGTTGCTTTTGCCGTTGTAGCTGAGCTCGTTTTCCAGAAGCCTTGCTGGTGTTGGGGGACTGCTTGATATCTGGAGACTCTGCAGCGCTTTGAAGTAGCTGCTGCCGAGGCACGTATTCGTTGTGCTCAAGCGTGATCAGTTCTAGAAGGTCGATTTTCCAATTCTGGTCAAATTGACACCTGAGATTACCCTGGAAAACAAGCTATGCTAGGTCAGTCATGCATTCAAAAAAAGCTGTGATAGAACATTAAGATACCTGATGGCCGTTTGTGAACCAGTACACGAAGCTTGACTTGGGGCTTTCGACAGAATGGCCTACACCAGGCAGATTCTTCTCGATAGCATTTGAAAATGTCATCTGTATATTTGTAATCCCACTGTTGAAATACGCCCAGTAGTATCTTGGCAAACTCGGCGTTGATAGCTCGAATTGCTTGCCTTCTTTAGTTTCTGATGACCATAATGATTGCCTGAGCACACCCTTTTGAGAGAAGAAGCTGTCTACGAACGAGTGCCAGTATGCAAGATCATTGGCCTGCTTGCGGGTCTGCATTTGGGTTTGGTGAGTTTCATCCAGTCGTCCATTCAGCTGAGACCTTGGGCTAGGGCTTTCGGAACTTTGGCTGAGATGATCGGCAAAACTGAGAAGCTTCAGGATACCACTCGTGCTCATGTGGTTCGTACGATTCTGGCCCATGGCTGCAGCTGCAGCTTGAGCAGCTTGTTGTTGTTGTTGTTGTTGTTGTTGTTGCTGCTGATGCATCTGGGCTTGATGCTGCGCTTGCTGCTGCTGGGCATGTTGCTGTTGAGCTTGCTGCTGCTGTTGCGGATTAGGCGTGTGCTGTTGACTTTGTTGATTCTGCTGTTGCTGCTGCTGCAACTGTTGTTGTTGTTGGGCAGCTTGCTGTTGTTGTTGAGCAGCTTGCTGTTGCTGTTGCGCAGCTTGCTGTTGTTGAGCAGCTTGCTGTTGCTGTTGAGCTTGCTGTTGTTGCTGAGCTTGCTGTTGCTGCTCCCGTTGCTGCTGAGCAGCCTGGTTTTGGGCAGCTTGGGTTTGTTGTTGTTGTTGTTGTTGCTGTTGCTGTTGCTGCTGCTGCTGCTGCTGCTGTTGTTGTTGCTGCTGCTGTTGCGTCTGTTGCGTCTGTTGCTGCTGTTGCTGCTGTTGCTGCTGTTGCTGTTGCTGTTGTTGCTGCTGTTGCGTCTGCTGCTGTTGCTGTTGTTGCTGCTGCTGTTGCGCCGCATGTTGTGCTTGTCGCTGCATTTGAATGTGCTGCTGCTGTTGTTGTGCCGCCGCCGCAGCAGCAGCAGGGTCAGGCCCAGTTGGTGCCTGAGGCTGAACGGTCATTTGCGGCTGCGGAGCTTGTTGGCCTTGCGTAGTTGCCGCTTGATTGGCTTGCTGTAAAGCGAGTTGTTGCATTTGTGCCTGTTGGTGCTGCTGAGCTTGTTGCTGAGCTTGTTGCTGGGCATTCTGCTGGGCGTTCTGCTGCTGCTGATGCTGTTGAGCTGCAGCTTGTTGCTGCGCGTTGTGTTGGGCTTGGGCTTGAGCTTGAGCCTGAGCTTGAGCTTGAGCTTGAGCTTGAGCCTGAGCCTGAGCCTGAGCCTGAGCTTGCAACTGAGCCTGTTGTGCTTGGTGTGCCCGCATTTGTGCGTTCTGGTGAGTTTGCTGCTGGGCTTGTTGTAGGTGGGCAGGTAGCGGCACGCCGCGCATGGCGGCGGCATTGTTCTGAAGGAACTGCTGCTGGTTCATGGCCTGATTGCCATTATTGGGAACCATTCCATTTTGCTGCTGTTGCTGCATCAACATCCGATGCTGTAGAATACGCTGTTGTTGTTGGGCCTGTTGCTGCGAGGCTTGCTGTTGAGCTGCAGCCTGGGCTTGTGCTTGTGCATGATGCTGTGCGGCGAGTTGTGGATTGTTGGCTACTGAGAATAATCTGTCAGCGAAAAGAAATAAGTCGTTGTCGTATGAAGCTGACAATTACATGTAGCGGAACAAGGTGGGAACTTGAGTAGTTTAGATAGATTGTATCTGGAGAATGATCCTGGAGAATGATCCTTAGACTGATGCGAAGCTTGGGCGGAGATATGCATGCTGATTGAACATCGAGCAAACAGCACCACGAGCGCAGTTGGGGTTGCTCAAGCGGTGATGATCATCCAAGGCCGAGGTAAAAATCGTACAATCATGACGGAAAAGGAACCTGTAACTTACAGAGTTGCATGTGCTGCTGCTGCTGCTGCTGTTGCTGCTGTTGCTGCTGCTGCTGCTGCGCATACATCTGTCCTTGGTGTGGATTCAAGTGAGACAATGCGTGCTGGCTTGGTCCAACCCCAGATACACTTGGCGGTCCGCCACCCTGCATCATTCCGCCCATCATAGGTCCCGCCTGGCTGACTTGAGGCCCTCCCGGCCCTGTGATACCTGGATGTATTTGCTGCCCCATCGAGACTCCAGGCTGTTGTCCTCCGGGTACACCTTGATTCGAAGGGTGTCCATGGGCCATTGGCTGTCCGCCATGAGCAACGCCAGGGTGGCCGCCCATGCCAGGGTGTGGAGTAAATGATGGTGCCATGGCCATTTGTGCCATAGTGGGAAGGGAACGAGGGTGCAGGTTTGTGATACTTGAAGGATATGTCGGAAGGCGTTTGCCTCAGGCGAGACCGGGCAACTGGTGGAAGCCTCTCACACAGTCACGGTCTGGACAGGACAAGGGTTTGTCGGTTGGATTTGTATGACTTCCTTCGCAAGACGTGACGATCTCTTATGATTATGCTCCAGTAAGGCCTTAGTGTGTCTCTTGTTTCCTTCCCGCGAATGGGAATCCTAGAGCTTTCTTGAAGATCGCCGTGAGTGTGTCAACATGATGACTCGGTCAGCCGGAAATTCATAAGGTCGCCGGCGCGTCCACTGCGCTGGAAATGTGTTATTGCAAACGAGGCGCAGGTATGAAAGGTTGCCGCAGTCGAGCTCGAGGCGGCAGGTGACTGGTTGGATGGTTGAATGTTACAGTGCAGCTCGCAAAGGCCCAAACGTCTCGCCCCACCAGCCTCGCTTCAATCTCCGATTCTGTCACACTTTCAGTTGACCTCTTCGTCTCTTTCGCGGTCTGTCCGAGTCACGCTCTCTGATTGCGACAGAATGGCGGGATTACGCTCAGATTTCCACCAATGAGCGTTTGATTTTCCAGAAAAGCGAGGGTAAAGAGGGCAAGAAAAGTCAGCCAAAGCGAAATTCAAGGTATCACGACCAGTCAAAAGGACTCCGAGTCGTCAGCAGTGACTCCAAATAGTGCACCTGCTTCCTCATCGAGGCTCGAGCTCATCTCTTCGGGCACTGGCCATTGGCCAAGAACTATCCACTAAGCTCTTCTGGTACTAGTCTGCCACTAATGCGCTAGATAGCAAAATAATATCAGAGCCGGGCACCTCCACGAAACTTCTTTCTGTCCAACCCACATTATTGCTCGAATCATTTATTTCCTTGTTTGATCCTATGGATATGTCTTCCTGCTTGAGGTATGTTATCATGAGAACTCTTTACGCTTCCTTACATACTACACATGTTGGAACGATGACAACAATATAAAAGTCTTCTTTTCCCACCTGAGTCGACCTTGAAGAGACCAATCTGTCGGATGCCCTTCGCCGGGCGTCTGCTACTTGCCAGTATATTTGTCTGACCATCAAGCATTCACATCCATGCTGCTATCAACCACGCTGTTGCAGGATTGGTGGCTAATTCATCACAGCTCTTAGGCGAATGCCCGACTCCGCCAGATTCGCAAGCTCGACAATTCATGTACGTGAGGTGTACTCGTACCATCGACCCTCTCCACCACTACCACTCAAAGTAAGCTGCATCTCCGTAGCTCTCCTTCCCTATACTTGGTTCTTTCATGATGAAACACAATCCACATTCGCAGTTTTCACGCGAACTGGTGCACGAACCTATTAAGCCGCCAGAATCATGTGCGCATTCAATTATGCTTTCCTTGGAAGTCTGATCGAGAACCTTTCCTACAAAGTGCTGCTTGTCATCAACATCAAAGACGAAATGATCCATGGGCTAACATGGATTGCTATTAGGTCACCTCACATGGCCTGTTCGACTCTACGCCTTTAAAGAGAGAAGCTCGAGCTTCATACTCCTTGTCCATAGAGTGACACGTACGAAATTCCCTGAGCTAAGCTAACACGGAGAGGAGAGAAAAGCTCTCACTTCATCTCTTTGAAAGAACAGGACAAGGTAGGTGGGAGGAGGCGTCCGAAACAAAGGCGTGCATTCACCAACCAGTGCCATTTCATAGTACATGGATCTGCATGGTTGAGATCTCTGCTGTGTTGCATCGACGTCCCACATCCTGCTAAGGCTCCAATTAGCCTGCTGTCCACGCCATCGTTGGCCAAGGTATGTGAACGATGGTGTCAAGATTCTGGGTTACGGCGAGACAAGCTCCGTTTTTGAGTAGTCTTTTTTTCTTTTGCATGTATGTAGCAGGAAGCTCCGTAAGCCAGATACCACGATTTGACTACATGCAACAATCCAGTGCATACAACGGCATAGTACGTAGGATTAGCTCGATGGACATTCGCTCTAAGCTCTCGTACTTCGCCAAACCCGCATGGGAGCACTGCGTAGAGATTGATTCTAGGCAATTGAGCTGTGACTTAGCGACATGCCCCCAAGTCTGGCTAGAGTTATCAGCTGTACCTTAGGAATTGAGAAACGCATCGGCTTGGCGAGCTAAGAGCAGCAACCGCGGAGACCCTCCGTGATCCTTTGAAACACTACAGCTTGAAGGCAGAGGGACAATAGATTGGGACAACTTGGACACAAACTTCACAGCCTTTTCCGCTCACATCACAAGTTCATTGTGGACTTCTATTCCTCAAGGCGCCATCTACAATGGCGAACGAAGTGCAGGACCCCCGCATGACTACTATCCACCCTCGAATCCGCTACAATACAATTGGAGGTGTCAATGGACCTTTGGTCATTCTAGATAATGTAGGACCACGAGCAGAATTCTAGGAACATTAGCTGATATGAATGCGTCAGGTCAAATTTCCTAGATACAACGAGATCGTCTCCTTGACCCTACCAGATGGCTCAGAGAGATCGGGACAGGTGCTGGAAGCTCGAGGTACAACCCCTCCCACCTGTGCCTCGCAACTAGAGTGGGCTGACGCTGCGTGTGATCAGGGAATCGAGCTGTTGTCCAAGTAATCCACCTTGAAGCTACCTGGAGCCTTTCCTCAGTGCTGATCCTAGATAGGTGTTTGAAGGCACCTCCGGTATCGATGTCAAGAAGGTCAGAGAAGACTCTGTAGACTGTCGAGCACACCGCTGACAGTCAGTAGACCAAAGTAGAATTTACTGGGCACAATCTCAAGATCGGAGTGTCTGAGGACATGCTGGGGCGCATCTTCGATGGATCAGGCAGAGCCATTGATAAAGGGCCCAAGGTGCTTGCGGAAGATTACCTCGACATTAACGGCAGTCCGATCAATCCCTACTCCCGAGTACGTTTGTAACGCACCTAACACGATATCCCAAGCTGACAGGCAGCCAGGTCTACCCAGAAGAGATGATTGCAACAGGAATATCAGCAATAGACACGATGAATTCGATTGCCCGCGGGCAAAAGATACCTATCTTCTCCGCTGCCGGTCTACCGCACAACGAAATCGCCGCGCAGATATGTCGTCAAGCTGGCTTGGTCAACAAGCCTACAAAGGACGTCCACGATGGTCATGAGGAGAACTTCTCCATTGTCTTTGCGGCTATGGGTGTCAATATGGAGACAAGTCGATTCTTCACAAGAGATTTTGAGGAGAATGGAAGTATGGAGAGAGTCACATTATTCTTGAACTTAGCAAACGATCCTACGTAAGATTCCTTTGCTCTGCAGCTTGCATTTGTGCTTACAGTGGCAGTATCGAACGTATCATCACCCCTCGTCTCGCCCTAACAACTGCCGAATACTACGCCTACCAATTAGAAAAGCACGTCCTGGTCATCCTCACAGATCTAACAGCGTACTGTGATGCTCTTCGCGAAGTCTCGGCAGCAAGAGAAGAAGTGCCAGGTCGGCGTGGATACCCAGGTTACATGTACACTGACTTGTCCACAATCTACGAGCGTGCTGGTCGTGTTGAAGGTCGCAATGGGTCAATCACCCAAATTCCGATCCTGACTATGCCCAACGACGGTACGGCAGGCAATGTCTCCTTTTCGGAAGAAGCTGACTTTCCCCTGCAGATATTACACATCCCATTCCTGATCTTACTGGCTATATCACCGAAGGTCAGATCTTCATCGACCGTCAACTCCACAACAAAGGTGTCTACCCACCCATCAACGTCCTCCCATCCCTCTCCCGTCTCATGAAATCCGCCATCGGCGAAGGCCATACCCGCAAAGACCACGGCGATGTCTCCAACCAACTCTACGCCAAATATGCCATCGGCCGAGACGCAGCATCTATGAAAGCAGTCGTTGGTGAAGAAGCTCTTTCCTCCGAAGACAAGCTCTCCCTCGAATTCCTTGACAAATTCGAACGTACTTTCATCTCCCAATCTGCCTACGAGTCACGCACAATATACGAGTCTATCGACCTAGCATGGAGTTTGCTGCGTATATACCCCAAGGAGTTGCTGAATCGTATTCCGAAGAAGATCCTAGATGAGTTCTACCAACGCAGTGGTAAGGGTAAGAGAGGGAACAAAGACACGAGGGATAATGAGGAGCAGGATGGAGAGCACGGACAGCAGCAGACGGATGGGGAACAGAATGAGGACTTGATTGAGACGTAGGGTAGGATCAAAGGCTGGAGCGGAATAGATGCGGTGTGCTGGAGGGCTGTGGAGTAATGTGTATACATTTGGCATTGACTGCATGCTTCGCATAGAATGTAAAGCTATACAAGATGCCGAATTCTATCCTCTACCCATAGTCCATCGCCGGAGGCTCCACGGTGACCTTGAACCCTTATCCACATGCCTGAATGCAAGTAAGTAAGTAACCAACGCCTCTCGCAATGCAATGGGTATGCCTCTCCATGCCGCTAAACCGCAGTACCAAAGTCAACTCCATTCCCCCTATCGGAACACCCACCGCCAAAAGCCCCTCCCAACATCCTCACCCATCTCTCCCCAATCACAACCCCTCCCCCTCCCCCTCCCCCACTCCAGGCGCGACACCAACCTCCTCCTCCAGCAACCCGCTCAACGTACTCCCATCCCGCAAATACACCCACTCCCCCTTCTCCGCCCCGTCACCGTCCGCACCGCGCACGACCCAATCGTATCGCTTGGGCCCGGACACCGGACTGCTGAGCCAGATCTGCTTGTTCGGCGGCTGCTTGTTGAGGACGTAGGTGCCGTGGGGCGGGAAGAGCAAGGTCAATACGCCGGCCTGGGTCATGGGACGGACGTCAGTACGTACGTAGGGTAGGACCAGTGGTGGGGGAAGTGAAAGTGCTGGGGGGGGGAATGGGGCACGGACGGAATATTCCACATCCACCTCTTCCCGCTCCTCTTGCATCTCCTCTAGCTGCGCGACCAGACCGTCGATGTACCGGTCGGATATCCTGTGGTACTCATCCGGCGAGATCTCTGCCGCTTCGGCCTTGGCGGCGCGTCGCGGGGGGGCGGTTGTGAAGGCGCGGCTTCGGGTCCGGGGCTGGGGTCGGAGTTGTCCGTTGTGGAGTTTGCGGTGCGGTTGCGTTGTGGGAAAGGAGGACGGGCGGGGTGGGTTGATGGGGTCGCTTGAGGATGTAGGCGCTCTGGGTTGGGAGAGGGAGAGGGAGAGGGAGAGGGAGGGGAGGATGCGGCGTGGTGCTTTTGAGAGGGAGAGGGGGATGGAGATGGAGATGGCTTTGTGGGCCATGGTTGATTTATTTTTCGGTTCTGGAGGCCGGAGAGGTGTGGAGAGAAGATTGTGGAGGAGGTACCTTTTATGCTGGTGGATGCCATCACTGTAGACTGATAATCGCGGAATGAAGCCGCTATATTGCTTCACTGTGTTTGAGGGTTGGACACTTTCTTCACGCTGTGTTGGAATACTAGGTGATTATGCATGTCACTGGTGTTCACCCTCATTCATTCTTACAGACAAGAGCTTAAGTACGGGCATGTTTTACTCAATAATTACATTGGGTTGCCTCTCTACCCAGAGCTTTCAACTTGTAGACCTTTCCCTTCTCCTTTCCACTTCTCCAACCAAGCTTTCACGAACTTTCTGATATATCCGTCTTCGACTAGCCTTGGTGTCTCTCTCAAGGCCGGACTATGCTTCACCGCAGTCTCGATCTCAAATTTGACATCCCCGGTCTTCTCCTTTCCATACATGCTTTCGAAGTGATCAATCAGCTTAACAGCGGGGTTTCGCTCCGGGTCCCCACCGTTCTTCTCATACTCTCGCAGCTTCTGTAACCATTCGACGACAGGGACCGTCGAAAATTCGAGGCCTGAGCGTTGCAGTTCAGGGAGGAGGGAGCTGGTCCAGGAGAAGGTGTGAGGACTCTCGAGATTGTAGACCAGATTTGTCTCAGAGTCGGAAACCGGGATGGTGCCGGTAGAAATGCCTGCAAGGTCGAGGATGGTGGTTGCTAGGATGTCGACGGGTAGCCAGGACTCGGTCTCATTAAGAGCTGGTAGCGCTTTCAGCGTGAGCGCCGAGCGAATTATCAGCGGTATTGCTTCGGTATCGTTCCACAGCCCCATTTGCCCATCGCCGACAATCTGACCGATGCGTAGTATGCGTGTCAAAGCACCCGCATCTCCAGCTGCGTTACAAATTATGCGCTCGCTGACGAGCTTAGAGCGTGCGTAGCCTTGAGGAAGCGCGGCTTTGAGATCAGAGATGGGTGTCTCTGGGATGATGGCAGGTGTAGAAGTTCCTAGGGCGGTGGCGATGGAGGAGCAGAAGAAGAAATGGGCCGGTGCGGGAGTCGAGACGGAAAGAGAGAATTGGGCAAGGTTGTGGACCCCTTTGATGTGCTGTTCTTCGAAACTGCGAATGCCTAAACTGAAATTCACGGCCCATGCGCTTGAGAATTTCGGAGTCAGCATGCTCTTTTCCAAATCCAAGGCGGAGTGATATCAGAAGAGCACAACCCGAGGGGAAATCCCTATTGGCAATACCAGCACGCTTCGCAGGACAAGTCTAAGGAACACATCGCAGGAATGATTTTTGTTTATGCCACAAGGTCGCGGCTTGAACCAAGTCCAAAGAGCCCAACGTGAGGTAGAGGCTCTTTCTGTCAAGAGATCAAAGAGCACAATCGAGACAAGCCTCCCCCCCTCCCCCGGTTACATGATACAAAAGCGCGTCATTGGACAAGTCTTGGGAGCACAACCAGGGGAGGAAACATACCTGTGGATGATGGTCGTAGTCTCGCTTTGTAACTTGTTAAACATGTCTGGTGACAGGCCAAGATCTTTTTTACTTAGATCACTAGTCAAAGCGACTGGGAATTTTGTATCTGGTACGCTCAGGTTCCTCTGTCGCAAAGCCTCCAGGACTCTTTCCTGAGGATTCTCGCGCCTGACCAAGCAGTAAACTTTGTGCACATCAGGCCGGGTGAGAAGTAAGGCCAGAATGTGAGTTCCCAAAGATCCAGTAGAGCCTGTGAGGACAACGATATGGCCTTCAGGAGCGGGCGATGAGCCCGAAACATGCTTTTGGAATGTCGAGTATTTCTTGATCATGGCCTCCATTTCCTCAATCTCATTTTCATCATCCTCTGGCCTTAGGTCATCAACCCTGAGCGCATCGAGGTATCTTGCCAGACCAGCCACATTCGCGGTATCATAGATCACATTTTGACCGAGTTTCCTGTGGTTGCCACCAAGATCGAGATCTTTCAGTATCAGGCCCCTCATCTGCTCAGATTCCGGAGTCAGCGTCTCTCTTTACAGCTATGGAACCGAGAAACCAGATGATTTTCAAAGGTAGAAAGCCTTTTGATCCTGGGACATGGTTGTGATTCTAGTATTAGGACAGTTCTAGCGACTTGAAAGGGCTTTCTCCTCCGAAGAATGGGCTTGTGGAAATTGGATACCAAATAGGGAGGACTGACTCGGGAATGTACGTACTTGTATCGCTGTTAGACTGTTGACCCCAGCGGCGAAAAAGTCGTCTTGGGGACTTGAAATTTGCACGCTTAGAGTTTCCCTGAACGTCTTCATGATCCAATCCTCCATCGCAGGTATATCGAGCTGCAAGGTGCCAGTCCCAGTATATTCGAGCTTATCGTACATGAGTTCCATATCTTTAGCAAAAACACGATAGATTTGCGAGCGCTTGATCGATTCTTTGTCTGTCTTTGGGTAATCGACCTCGGCTCCAAAAGGCACTATGGTTTCCTTACTGATCTGTGAGAAGCTCTCGATTTGAGCGTTAACCTCTTGTATAGTAGGCCAAATAGCGTTGATGAATCCTTCGTCAGGCATATCCCTCGACTCGTCGTTTTTGAAAACGAAGATACCAGGTATCGACTTACCAGTGCCGAAGATACAGCACTCTCTGATGAGCGGGTCTTGTCGAACTCGGCCTTCCGTTGGTAAGGGGAGAATTTTCTCGCCGTTGATCAAGGTCAGACGATCATCCAAACGACCAACATGTTTCCAAGCATCCAATTCTGGGTGTTTGACAAATATGTCTTTTGAGTGGAACGACTTCGGTGGATCGTCAGAATTGGAAACAACAAGCGCTTCCAATCCGTGTAGGTATATGCATTCATATGTATCGTCTCCCAAAGGCTTCATCCATATGTACTTCGCCACAGGCGGTGGTATCCGAATATAGTCCCACGAATTATCCCCTGGGGCACGGTTGGACGAGGTACCAAGGCTACCGATTTCTGTTGCACCCCATAGTGTTTCTACGTTGACGCCTTTTGCAACCAGATCATTTCCCAGATAATCGGGAGCGCCACTCCCAGAGAAAATCACCCTTTTACAAGTTTTCATTGCATCAACTCCCCTCTCAGTCTGGGCGAGAAGCTCCATTGTGTATGGCACCACATGCAGTATATCGGGCTTGACATGATGGAGTACTTTGATAACATAGTCCGCCGTCACGGGTAAGCTAGGATTGTACATGTAAACCGTCTTCCTATCCATCATGCCATGTACTACTACCCAGCTCCCATATCCGTGACTAGCACATTTCGAAGTCAGCATTCCCATTGGTGGACAAAGATTCGAGTAATAAGACAACTTTAAGAAATGGATTGGGTGGCAGAATGGGTAATTCGTTCCTTCAACATGTCTCGCGAATCAAAAACAGTCTCGACGAGGAAGAGAGAACTCAGAGATGTGGCTTACAAGAAAGGAAAAGTAGTGAACTCGGTCTGCTCCTTCGGTGCAGGTATCTTCATCATGAGACGTCGATGGGGAAGATAGATTGGTTTAGGCAGCCCAGTCGAGCCGGACGAGTGCAGAATACCTAGAGTCCATTCTTTCTCCGCCTTCCGGTCTACATTCTGGCGCTGAAATTGTGGCTCCTTTGATGCTGGCTTATCAAAATCTTCTCGGGATATCAAATTTATCCTTTCAATTTTTACGAGCTCTTGTGTGTGGGCGACAAGGGAGGCGATTTGTGTGGTTTTCCCCGGTATTATCGCAACTCCACCCGTTTCTCGTATCAGCTTCTCGCATGCGTTGGGTGCGAGTCGAGGCGAGAGGCATAGCGATGTGTAGCCTAACCTGGCAAGCGCAAAGAATGTGATTATGTACGCAAGGTCTGTGGGACCTAGCAGGGCGATCACTGGAGGTGTCTCATGGCTGCTCTTGGTCTGGGATCCTCCATAAGCCACACGCTGAGAGCAGGACATGCCCAATTGCCTCACTCACAGGATGTAATCCGCATCTCATATAGTACTTTGCTGCCTGATCCACGAATCGATCTATATCCTTGCCTGTAAACTTTTCGTAGTCAATAGTACCTTGTTCAGACTTTGGGAAGCACAGTAATGGCACTTGTGTCTTATCTGCAGCTCTGAGGCGTAGGAGGTCATCGGAAATTATCAGATCTTCCTCTTCAATCGGTATGTTTCCATCTACCATGGAGTCTGCTGTTGCTGTGGGCGCCATGGCTGGACCACTTTGACGGCTTCAGAAGAAGTACACCAACTGATGTATGAAGTATAGATTCACAGTGAAGCAAGTAAGGGATGTACAAGAAAGAGGCGATTATGTCCTGAGTGTACTAGCAGTCCATTGAATATGTTCCGAGGAAACAAACCAAAAACACATCAAACAAGAAAAGACGTTAACAGCTGTGCAAAGTGTCATGCCACTGAGGGGTCATGATCCCGACTTTCGGAGGCCAACTTTAGGGGCAAACTCAACTGCCGATGGGTCCTAGTTCTATGGGAATGCGGCCTTCAACGGGGTCTGGTAACCGTCCAGGCGCGACTGAACAGTAATCCACGCTAAGCCCTACCCTCTAATATCAAATAATTAAAACAACCGGAATTCGATATTTTCGCTCTATAATAGCGTTATTATAGCTAGCTTAATTACTTATTTATTCTTAATAAATATAATAATATTATTTAAGATTTCTATTAAAAATAGTTAAAATATTAATAGATATTAATATATAGATATTATTTTAAGAGAAATTATAAGAGTATAAAGCGCGAATTTTTCGCGAATTTTTATTATAGCGAAAAATTCGAGTTTTAGAGATAATTACTACTATTAAGAGAATAGTTATTAACTTATATTAAATATATTCTCTATATATATAAATTTAGCTAATAAATATAATAAACTTAAATTTAAAGTTATCTAATAATTATTTAAAATAATTACTCTTAATAAAAATTTAAGTAACTCGAAATTATCGTAATTATAATTTCGATAATTTTAAATAATAATTTTAAACGATAATTATAAACGATAATTTTAAATAATAATTTTAAATAATAATTTCGAATAATAATTTCAAATGATAATTATAAACGATAATTTCGAATAATAATTTCGAATAATAATTTCGAATAATAATTTCGAACGATAATTTCGAGTTAATAAAAAATCTAAATTCTCTAGAAGTAAATATTAATAACTATTCTATATATATTAAATATATATTAAATAATAATTCTTTTCTTTATTAATATACTTACTTATTTTTTATTTTTATTTTTTATTTTTTTATTTATTATTTTTTATATCTTAATATATATAAAGAAACTATAAAATTTACTTAACTTTTTTATTTATTTTTTATATTTTAACGCTTTTTTTCTTTATTATATAAAATACTCTAATCTATTATATAAAATATTATATTTTTAATAATATTTATAATATATAAATATTATAATTTTTTTTTTTAAATAAATTTAATAACTTAGTTATTTAATATATTTTTATTATATATAAAAGATTTATAATAAATTTATAAATAATTCGAAATCTTCGCGATAATTCTATTATTATAAACTCGAAATATTCGAGACTTTAAAAAATAATTCGAAACTTTTATAATAATTTTATAATTAATTTAAAATAATCTTAAAAATACTTTAAAATTTTCGAGATCTTTATAAAGTACTAAATCTTACGCGAAAATTCGAAACTTTCGAGGCGAACTTTATCTTTTAATTTAAAATTCTAGAGTTATTTTTTCTACTTCGAAATTATTATAGTAATAATAATAACGATAATTTCGAATCTTTCTATTATACTTATAAATAATTTTATTATATTTATAAATATTTATATTAGCTATCTATATAACTAAGAGTCTTTATTTTCTTCGCTATTATTATTACTATCTTAAACTAATTATATTTCTCGATATTATTAAAATCGTTTTACTTTACTATAAAGATCTTTTATTTATACTCTATTACTTTCTTTTTAATATTAAAATAAAATAATAGACTCTTTTAAACTTAACTTTATTAAAGCTTATAAGACTATTTAAGTATTATCTATCTTTCGAGTATATCGAGTCTATTTAAATAAGATACTTTAAGTCTTTAATATCTCTTTTCTATATTTCGTAAATTTTATTAATATAAAAGTCTATATAGTCTTATCGCTTTCGAACTTTTAATAATAAATAAATATTATCTAAATAAATAAATTATTTAAATAATCTTTAAAAAGTTTAAGGATATAATATCTTTATAGTATTATATAATTTCTTTATATACTTTTAAGACTTAGATTATAATAAATAAACTCGATTAAAATATTTATAAAAAATTTAAATAACTTAAATTTAAATAACTAGTAAGAAATTATAACTATTCTATTTTTAAATTAATTAAGATATATCTCTAGATAATTAACTTAAAAATATAGTATTCGAGATTTTATTTTTAAAGAACTTAAGTATAATATAAGATATCTTAAGAGTATAAATCTTAATTATACTAATTAAAAGTTCGTTTTATTCGAAGTATAATCTAGTCTTCAAAGAATTCGAGTTTTATAAATATTAAATATCTAGAATTCTTATATTATTTTATCTCGATTTAGATATATAATATAATAAATTTCGATATTTAATTATAATTTAAATATTAATTAAAGATTAATATCTTTTTTTATTTTAATTTAATTAATCTTAACTAAGATTAAGTATAAAACGATTTTTTTAAAATTTATTTTTAAATCTTTTAAGATAATATTACGATCTTTATAATATAAGAGCTAAAGAATTATTTTAAAAGGTCGTAATATTTAATAATTAAGATACTAGAGCTTTACTATATAAATCTTTATATAAATAAAATAATCTTCTAAATTTTTAAATCTCGAAATTTATAAGATTTATTAATTTATTAATTTATTAATATATTCTTCGCCTAGCGTTAATATAGACTAATCGAGTTTTATAAAAAATAGTAATTTATTAAGAAGTATAAAAATCTCGAGCTTTTATTTTAAGATTAATATTTTAATTAAAAATCGTAGTTTATTTACGATTTTGTAGATTTTTCTTTTAAATTTTCGAAGATTTCGATTCTTATAATATTTCGCTAATACTTCGAAATTTATAAAATATTTATTAAGATCTTATTTAAGAATTTTAAAGATATTTTTTTTTATATAGCGAGAAGTAAATTAAGTGAAATATTAAGAGATATTCTATTTATAAAAAATAACTTATTCTATAATTCTATTACTTCGATTAATTCGAAGATAATAAATAAATCGTTTATTAATATTAGAGAGATTAATTTTTTAAGACTAAGATTAATTTAAAATCGATAATTAAATTAAAGCCTTTAAAAATAAAGAATATATTAAGACTTTAGAATTAGAATAATTTAAAAATATTAAAGATTTATATATTAATAAAATAGAAGATTAGAAAAGTTATAATTCTTTTTATTAAATTAAATAAACTATTTAAGCTTCGATAAATAAGAAAACTTTAGAACTATATTATAAATAGTATTAATTATTTTAAATATTTATTTATATTAAATTTAAAAACTTCGAAGATAAACTTAATATTTTTAAAGAGTATTTATCGAAATTAATTATTTTATAAATTTATATATTATATAATTATAATTAGATAGATTAAGAATCTCGAATAATAAAGAAAACGATATTAAATATATATAGTTATACTCTAAAAATGCGAGCTCTTATTTTTTAATATTATAATAATATATAAGATAGAGAGAGTTAATAATATTTGAAAGATTCGAATAAAAAATAGTAAGAAAATTCTTTACTTTCTATATTTATTTTAAAATATATAAAAATTATTTATTATAAAAAGATTCGTATTTTCTAATTATCTTATAATCTCGAAAAATATAAATATTAATTTATAGAGAGTAGATATAAATAAAAAAGATATATATTAGTATAAGAGTAATAAATATTAAAAAATTTGAAAAGTTATTTCGATTTAATAGTATAATAGAACTTCGGCTAGAATAATAATCTTTATTAATCTTAAAAACTTTAAATCTTTAAATTTAGAAAGATACTCGAGAATATATTATAATAACTTTAATCTATATAATTACTTTTTAATATTTATTTAAAATTAATAAAATTCTTATCTTAGAATATTATTAGATTAAGTTTTTTAATTCTCGAATTAATTAGATATTAATTATATTATAATATAAAAAGATATATTAATTTAAAGATAAATTTAAAAATCTTAAATTTTAAGATTAATCTATATCTTCGAGAATTTCGAATTTTAATTCTCTTTAAAAGTCTCGAGATTTAAATTTATCGTAGATTTTATCTAATACGATTTAATAGAAATTAAATTCTTTTATATATATTATAATTAATAATATTCTTAATTTAATATATCTTCTTTATATCTAGAATAGATAAATATTTCTAACTTTTAAAAGGGTTAAGTCTTTCGTAAATTTAATAAATATAATATTTCTTAAAAAATAAATTTAATAAGATTTAAAAACTTCGAAATATAATAAAATTTTCTCTAAATTCGAAGTAGTTTCCTTAATATTTTCTAACTTAATTTTAAAATAATCTTATAGATATTAATAAAAATCTCGAAGTTTATAAAACTTATTTTTTTTAATAAAAAGAAATATAATATCTAATAAATTATAAGAGATAAATTTTTTAAAAATTATATAATTAAGATAAATAGAGTATAGATTATAATATACTTTATATTATTTAATATCTCTATAATTAAAATAATAATCTAATAATATCTTAAGAGAATTTTATAAAACTCGAATAATTAATAACTTAAAAATATTATATATATAAAAGAAGTTATTAATATATTTAAGCTTTAATTACTTCGAATATATTTAAAATATAAATATTTCGAATATACTTATTTTTCGAAGTTTTCGAAAAAAAATAATTTTTATTAAATTCTTATAGAATTCGAAGAATAATTCTATATATTAATTATATCATCTATAAATCTAAAAAGTTTCTTTTCGCACGATTTTCGTCGGATTTATATTATAAGTATAATTTAGTTTATTAAGTAGACTTTATCTATATTTAATTCTTTTTATTAGTTTAATAATTAAATATAATAAACTTCGCGTTTAATAAGCTAAGATAGTATTTATTTAGATCGATTAGATTTTAAAGCGACT